TAATGTATATCTGTGTGAGGGTGTCATATCACCTGGAACTGGAGTTACAGTTGTGAGCCGCCAGGAGGGTGCTGGGAATTGAAACTGGGTCTTCTGGAAGAGCGGCCAGGCTTTTAGCTGCTGAGTCATCTCTCCAGCCTGTCCCCCTCCCCAGGTTGGTGTATTCTATTGGTAGTTGTTATCCTCTGGATACTTACACTGCAGAGGAGCTCATCTGAGACTTGCCTGCTTAGGAAACATGAATACCATGCTCCACTCCCTGAGATGATGCTGATGCTGCAGGTCTGGAATGGAAGGCTGAGGCTGGCCTTAGGATGGCCACTGGGGACACAGGAGAAATGGGGGTGGTGACAGTGTGAGTAGAGACAGGCATAATTTGTGTTCCTTGCCTTCATCCTATGGGGTGTCTAGCATGTCAGAAACAGGCATATAAAAAGAAAGGAGGGGACATTATTAGAGCAAAATGCTAGGTGTTTCGCCTAATACTGAGAACTGGTCATGGGAACTAGTGCATGTCGGGCAAATGCTTGTCCACTGGCTACACCCCGGGTCCCAACCAACTGCTTCAAAGCTATTGCATAGTTTTATTTCTAATTCTTACAAGAATCCAGAAGGATAAAAATAGAAAGTAGCCAAATCCTGTTCAGATTGGGGGGGGAGGGTGGGCAGGACAGGGAAACCACTGTTGAAAACCCCAGTAGCACAAAATGGCACAGAATGGCAATTCTCATATTTCATTTGTGTGTCGATTCACAGAGGAACCCCCTCAAAAAACCAAAACAAAACAAAAAAAAAAACTATACTACTTTGGGAAATCTTTGAGGAAGTCCAAACAATTATTTATGAGAACCCACCAATAAGAAGGGAAATAAAAAGTGAATCAAAAACATAATCATAGGTTTTACAGAGATTTACATACACTGTAACGTTTTAAGTATGTATGTATGTATATACACACAGACACACAGACATACAGACACACACACACACACACACTCCATATATACATGTAGCTGCATTCAGAAGGACTGAGGCTAAGTCAGTTCTACCCTTATTTGATCCTTGACAAAATTCTCTTAATCTGTAAAATTGTTGGAAATGTTCTAAGGGTTTGTTTTGAAAATTAAGTTTCAAATTTTACTTTATAAAATGGTAGTCTAATTTTTATTGATATGTCCTAATTTTGTGAATGCCAAATATTTAGTTATGAGAATCATTAGGGTAAATGTCCTGAATGAAAAAGACTAGAAGAGATTTGTTGATGGGCTGTGAACATCAAACTCCACCAGTAGGAGCTCTAATTGATATCAAGGGCGGTTAAGCCCTCTGCTGGGCTCTTCGAAGGGGTGCTATCTGAGGACAGCGGCAGCATTTTGAGAGTTGGCTTTGGCCTAATTTGAAGCTAAAGATCAGCAGATTAAGAAGATTAAACAAAAATATAACTCAATCCTATGTTTAGCAGCTTCCTAAAATAACCTTTGAAATGTTCAGCATCTGGATTCAGGCCATGCAATCAGCATCACCACATTTTCCCACCTATGTGGAGCACTGGAGAATGTGGTATTCTTAATACTGAATGTAGCTTGAAGCCAGCAGCAGCACACAGAGTAGGGTAGTCTACCAGAGTCTCGGTTCTGCCTCTACGGTTGACTGGGAAGTCAAGGGCAAAAGGAACAGGGCTGCAGGTGCCATGACCACCTGCTGGACACATAGATGATATGACTTGCTCCCAGGTGCTTATCGATTAAAACCGTGGAACTAAGATACATTTACATAACGATAATGATGGTGATCATGGTCCAGATGATTAATGGAAAGAAAGTGAGGCAACAGTGGATTGGGAGTAAAAGTCAGCACACCTCCCCCACCCTGGACAGCAATATTTTCTATTACCATACAGGGTTGAGGTCTTCATGGTATAAACTAGAGGAATTACTATAAACAATGAATTCAGTTTAGAATAATGTGACTTCTTCTAAAAGGAGAGGGAGCTGAGCATTGTGATTCTACCTATCATGCTAGCACTCAGGAGACTGAGTAGGAGGACTGAACATTTGAGGTGAGGCTGGACTACTGAGCAAGACCCTGTTTGGGAAGGGAAAAGAGTGAGCCAGGAATGTAGTTCAGTGGTACTTGCCTAGTACAAAGCCCTGAGTCTGATCCTTAGCACTGCAAGGAAAAAAAAGAAAACTAAGAGAGAGAAAGGGGAGAGGGGGGGAGGAGAGAGAGAGAGGTTTCAGAGAGTAACTATATTTCAACACTTCTATATCATGGACTAGGAAACAAAGGTCAAAGAGATAAAGTGATTTGTTGTAAAAGACAGAAGCTTGGTTTTTTGGTGTTCACGGTTCTTTTTGTTTTGGTTTTTGAAACATTGTTTCATTGTTTCTCTGTGGCTTTGGAGGCTGTCCTGGAACTCGCTCTGTAGACCAGGCTGGACTCCAACTCATAGAGATCTACATGCCTCTGCCTCCCCAGTGCTGGGAGCAAAGGCATGCACCACCACCGCCCAGCTATTTTCATAGTTCTTAATCCCATAGTTATCTACCACTTTGGACTTGGAAAGATGTTTATAGGGGTATTTATAGGAAGCACAATCTCTTTTATTCTATTTTAGGAAAATAGTGACATTTTGGTGTCACTAAGTCCCATGTAGATGCTTCTGAGTAGTTGTTGTTCACTTGAGAAGTTACAAAAGTTAAACATGCTTTATGCTTTAATTTTCCAAACTTGAAATGATTTTATCTTGTCTTCAATAACTATACATTTCTAATTTTATTCATTCATTTTCATTATTTGAGACACTTTACTTTTAACTTTGCTTAACACTTAATTCTCTCCTCTTCCTCCTCCTCCTCTTTCTTTTTAACAAGGACTTGTAGACCAGAGTGGTTTTGAATTCGAGATGTAGTTGGGGATGACCTGTAGCTTCTGTTCCTCATGCCTCCATCTCCGAGGGCTGAAATCGCAAGTGTACACCACTCAACCTAGTTTATGCTGAGTTGGAAATCCAATCCAGGGCTTTGTACCTGTTAGGCAAGCACACCACCAACTGAACTATATCCCCAGCCCCTAACACTGCTTAGATTTTTTTTTAAGCAAAAGTGAAGGACAGAAGTATGAACCAAAAAAATGTACATAACTGACATAAAACCACAGAAAATAAACAAAATTTTAGAATTAGTCTTCAAAAGACTATCCAATACAACTCAACATACCCAGTAGGCAGAGTTGGATTTGTATTGTTAGTTGGCATTTAATTTTGTCAAGACGTTTGAAAACATAAATGCTTAAGAAAATAAGACATTTCTCTGCATTCAAGACCAGTACAGTCTAGAGAGAGAGAGAGAGAGAGAGAGAGAGAGTGTTCCAGGATGGCCAGGTCTACACAGAGAAACACTGTCTGGGGAGGGGGGCTAATGGTGGGGAGAGACAGATTAGCTGAAAGTAGTTAGTTACCTGCAAATAACACAGAGTCCAGTAGGTGGGTGGGAGGTTACCAATGTGTTTTGAATACTCTGGCATCAGACTCACTCTGGATTCTGTAATGTGTAGATTCCTGCATCTCTTTGCCTTTATTTCTTACTGATGTTGACTAAAAATGCATGGGAGGTAACTGGCTTGGACCGATTAAGATCCTGCAAAAGGTCCTGGACAGAGCCAACCATAATGATGTCCCTTGTCACCAATTATTTGTCTGACCTGAGCAATGAGGAGAGTGATGAATCCCCCAAGTCCAGTTTCCCCAGCAGGGTATGGTTGTGCTGTTTAAACCCTGACAAGGAGGCTGATGGAAGCCGACCGACCAATCTGTTCTGTGTATCATGCCATTTCCTCCTTCCTACTCAGGCCTGCTGCTCTCTTACACACAGCTCTGCATCTCTCCATACTTAGAGGAAATGCTGCTCCATTTACAGATTGCAAATAGCAGCTACCTAACCAAGTCACTTAACTAAAATTCACTCAAATCTTATCTTTTGCCAATGACTTGATTTTTATTTCATTTGTTAAGATAGCGTCTCACTAGAAATGCTCCTGCCTCTGCCTCCAGAGCTCTGGGCTAAAGGCCGGTGCCACCACACCTATCTCCAATCTTCTTTCTTGACCTTCAACTTTCCCCAGGTCTTTCTCTCTATATCTTCCTATCTCTAGTATTCTGAAATTTGTACTCACTAGTAGGTGTACTCCTGTATTTCTACAGCACATAAGACTTATGATTAAAACTGGTAAAATGTAGGAGAGGGCAAAATGGACAAAGTTCTTTACTTTGTCAAGAGGGATACATGTTGCGGGCATTATTAATTCTTTGCGTTGGGTCTGAAAAGTAAAAGTACCATGTTAGCCAATTATTCATCACAATGAATTTAACCTAAGCATCAACTAATGGTTAATACACTACAAATGTAACTCTAGCACTCCAGTTATATGTAACTTAACCCAACTCTAGCTAACTCATCTCAGGCATCTGTTTCACTAACAAACTAGTAAGACGAAGTATTCAGGAGTAAGGCATATCAGGAATATATATATAAGTAGGAAACCCGTTTCTTTAAATAATGACCATAAAACCAGCGAAGCATCAGACAGACCTGCGGTATATTTCAGTCAAGAAAACGCATCCTGAAGTTTGAGGCTTTTTATATTCTTAAAGATGGTATGTATAGTTTCAATACACAAGTGCAAAGCAAAATGAAAGCGCTGACAGTCGTGTGCTCTTTTGCAGACTAAGAAGCCTCCAGATAATTAGGACGCCCTGACGTGTCCCCTGAGTGACCTCAGGAGCCTTTGGCTACACAAATGGAGGCTTGGGCACTGGGGTGCGGTGATTCTGTTTGCCGGCGGATTGGAGCGGAGCTGCGCTGTAGGCGGCACTGCCGTGACGTCACTGGGAGATTAGCCCCGCCCCGCCCCGCCCCGCAGGACTCAATAGGGGTCCCAGCTGGCCCTCTGTCAAAAGCCGCATCTCCACCTGCTCTGAAATAAAGCATCTTCTGTTTCAGACGCGGAACTTTGCAAACAGAGAAGGGGGCAGTGCCGCTACGATCCTTGCGAACGAGACCCCAAGACCCACTCGTGTGCATGCGCTGAGGGCTATACTTTAAGCCGAGACCGGAAGTACTGCGAAGGTAAAGTACGCATGCGCCTAGCGCTGTCCAGGAGACAGGTGCAAAGCGGTCTGCAGGAGTGCGCATGGCTGTTGGTGGCTTGCCTTTGGCAAGAGGGGGCTGACCAGGCCTCCGAGGAAAACAAACGTCAACCCTTCCTGGCTTAGTCCCTTCTTCCCTCCCTTCCTACTTCCTTTTCCAGACGAGGGCCTTTTTCTTCTGTTTTTATTTTTGTTATACTCTCAGGTCTTTTTATAGACTTCTGTTGCTAGGAATTTCCTGAGGGACTGATAAAAAGCCGGAATTCTCTTTATCTAAAGATTATTGTTTTTATTCTGTGTGTATGAGTACCTGCATGTACTTATGTGCACCGTGTGCATGCCTGGTGCCTGTGTAGACTAGAGGGGTGCAGGACCCTCTGGAACCAGGGTTAAGGATGTGAGCCACTACTACATGTAGGTACTGGGAACCAAACCCAGGTTCTCTGTAAGGGCACCAAGTGTTCTTAACCTCTGAGCCGTCTCTTTAGCTTTAAGACCAGAGTTTTCTGGGTGCGGTCAATAGATCTCTTTTTGTTTGACTTTGTGTAAAATATCGGAAGAGCAATCTCTTTTCTTCACTTTTATATATTTTCGGGAGCGATTCCATAGCTACCATCACATTAAGAGCACTCCTCACACATCTTACCCACACAAGATCCAGGGTGAACTTTGGGAGGCTGAATCTAGCTGCCTCCTTCTCTAGGCTACATCCAGTTTGGAAAACCTTGGTCCAATATAATAAGACCTGGAGAAATAACTGTTTTTTAGAAGGTGGAATGGCATACGCATTCAGAGGAATTAACTGGCTTCAGGCACATCTAGCTTATGACTCTTAACAGTCCCAGATTATGCCATTGTGTTCCAGAAGTAGAGGGCATCAACTTGGCACTTTAGTTAGAGCAGAGCTGTTGGAGAAGTGTCCCTCTTGAGGTGTGGTCATCCTTAGGAAGACCAAATGCAAAACAGGAAATACCCTAAACTGGCTAAGATATTCTAATGCCAGCTTCATGGGAGGCCACCTCAGGACTGAAGTTCAGGACCAGCCTGGCCTTCTCAGTGAGTTCAAGGAGAATTTGAGGCTATGGTAGCATAGAGAGCCCCTTTCTTAAAATAAAAAGGAGGGTGGCAGACTTGGCATGGACACTCTGTGACAAGGTGCATACAGGACACGTATGATTCTGTGTTTAATCCTCGGAGTCACAAAAAGGAGATCCTAGGTTTCAGAGGACGATGTGTTAACTTTTATTAAAGGTAATCCCAGTCTAAAAATCTGAGAAAGTGCTCTCTAGGTCACTCTGGCACAATAGAAGTGACTTTCATGGACATCAAACTGACTTCTGTCGCTGTCTCTGAGGATTGGAGAAGCAACCTTCTCATAATGAGTTGCAGTAGAAGCAAGCGTGGCATGCTCTTCTCTCTGCTAATTAGGGATATCTCAATTTATTTTCATGGATAATTATCTGGCTGTGGGTTGCTGTTGTCTTTGTGCAGATGTCAATGAATGTGCCTTTCAGAATCATGGCTGTACTCTTGGGTGTGAAAACACCCCAGGGTCCTATTACTGCACGTGCCCTGAAGGCTTTGTTCTGCTTCCTGATGGGAAACGATGCCACGGTAAGCCACAGCAAGTCTTTATTGCATTCTTTTATTTTCAGCGATGTCCCTAAGCTGGCTATGATCTGAGTTGATGCTCTTCAGTTAGCAGTGTGCATCAGAATTACCTGGGCATTTTATTTCATTTTGCTTTGTAAAACATGGATAGCTGAAGCTGGACTTGGTAGTACAAATTTGTAATCCCTGCAGGCTGAGGTAGGAGAATCACAAGTTCAAGACCAGCCTGAGCTACACAGAAGAGCTTTGTCTTAAGAACCAGCAACCATATGCATAACTAGACTCTAATACAGGCTTATTTTTAAAAACTGTTGAGGGTGATGGAAATAAAACTATATAAACATTTTATCTATATTATCTAATATTTCACTGTATATTTCTAAAAGAGAGGCATGTAATAAACACACATGATATATTATTACACCTAAAAATTAACTATAATCCCTGTCTTAATTAGGATTATTTTTTATTGCGGTGAAGGAAATTACAGTTTTAGAGTTTTAATCCATTATCATCATGGTGGGACATGGTGGCATGCAGGCAGATGTGGTGCTGGAGAAGGAGCTGAGAGTTCTACATCTGGATCAACAAGCAGCAGAAGCAACCGTGTACCTCACTGAGTTAACTTAAGCATTGGAGACCTCAAAGCCCACCCCCATAGTGGTATACTTCCTCCAACAAGGTCACACCTCCTCATAGTGCCTCTCCCTATGGAGGCCATTTTCTTTCAAACCATCACAATCCCTTAGTGTAATATCTGTCAGTGTATAAATACAATCACACTACTACTGACACACCCTTAAAAATTAACAATAATTCTTAGTAGCATCAAGTATCATTTTTTTTCTATTATCTTCAATTATGAGAGTGAATAAAAAACTGGTAAAATGAAATTTTCAAGTCCAGATAAGCTGGTGCTGTAGAGAATGACCATTGAAATTACCTTTTAAAAGTCCTGTACATATGGGTTTGTTTGAGTAAGTGAGTGTTCAAATAAAGGCCTTGCATTAACTTGATGGACCTGTCTCTTACAGATGCCTATTATCCCTCGTATTGAAGTCACTAAATTAACTATTTTTATGTACTCCAGGGCTTTTTCTTTGTGGCTTTTGTTAATTACACTTTTGAAATGTTCCTGAAATATTCTGCAAAGTTGTAATTATATCTATAGACTGTGTTCGATTCAGCATCGACATTTCTTGGTCAGAATACATTTTAGATATGTCTGTACTTCCACCAAGATATAGATAATGTCCTGTTGTTTCCTCATGTCATGAGAATAGTCTGTGATCATTCATCTCTTAATAAGCCCACAGTCACCTTTTTAATAATTATTTCCTAGATCTATTATCTCATAGTTTCTAAGTAATAGTCTTATCTTGTCATTTCTTTTTAATTATTAATTAGAATGCTTTTATACAGAGAAATTTCATTAGCAATTTGCTTACCCAAGACAGGATGCTTACAATATAGGCAAGATAAATGTAGAAATTTGTATTTAGAGGACGTAATTTGCTACTGAATTAGTCATTTCTAACTTTTGGGGTCATCTTACTAAAAAAAGAGAAACAGAAAACATTGTAAATATGTATGGGCACTCCCAGTGCAAATCTAGGATTGCATATTCAGAAACTTTCTAGTCTTGCTTTCTAATTGACTCTGTTAGCATGACTAATGTACGGTTGCATGTTTGAAATCATGTTTATTATGTAGTCTTGTATCACAGAATAGGTGTCTGTATCCTTCTGTGTTTATGAAACACGACAGACATGTTGAAATTGGTGGATAATAAATAATGAATTACTTAGTAATTATCTGTCATAATTGCATGTCTGAGACTTCTTCTAGACATATAATAAGTGTCCTAAAAGATTGGATGTAAATGGGTTGGCTATAGGGCCCTTCATATGCCAACAACAGCATATACAGTTTTTTTTTAATTCCTAAAGCATCCAGAAACTTTATGGAATTAATTTTGGTGCAAGATATAGAGTAGGGCTTAAGTTTGCTCAAACCACTCTGTAGCTATTTTGAGTTACTATTGGTTTTTTACATGCTCACCCATTTAAGCTAACACCTACAAATACAAGGTTTTACTTTTATCAATTTTGTTTTAGACACAGTCTCATTGGGTAGGATTGTGTAGGTTGGCCTAGATCTTGGGGTTCTCCTCACTCAGCCTCTTGTGGCTGGGATTACAGGTATGTGACATCATTCCCAGTTAAAGCCTTTTTTAATCCGAGTCTTGTCTGTCCTGTCCTGTCCTAAAGTCCTCTGTCTTTTCCCATTCCCGTTTCCCAGTGTTCTGAAGTTGCATGCTATCACACTGTACTCCAAGCATTTATCATCTGATTTAGCACTTATTAAGAGCTTCTTGTTTCCCTTCCTACATGTAATCATGCACAAAATGCCTTTACTTCTACCATGTGTTATTAGTCCTCTAGGAAAACTTGAGAATCGCTTGGTAAAATTCTACATAAAATATTACGGAATTCTGGTGACTAATAACTTTTAAAATCTTATTTGAAATGGGAGAAACTCATAGGAGATTGGAGATATTTTCCTAAAATTCTAGCTCTTTAATTTTTTTGGGTTGATATTTTGTTCCTTGCTTTTATAATTTCCATACTATGGCATCTCATAAATGTTAGATTTTTTTAAAATTCAACTCCCACCTTTCAGGGTAGCAACGGGTTGTCACAAATTTTCACAACCCAATTTTTACAATAATTATGAATTTGTTCTTCCCTAACTAGAACTTATTTCCTGTCCAAGCAACACATCTACATGCAGCCATGGCTGTGTTCTGACATCAGATGGTCCCCAGTGTGTCTGTCCCAAAGGTTCAGTGCTTGAGACAGATGGGAAAACATGCAGTGGTGAGTCTGTTTGCCTTTTAGTGACTCGACAGTATCAGTCTTCTAAGAAACACGGAAAAGTTAACCTTATTCCCAAAGCAGAGACTAGATTTTCTAATCATCACATACTGCCGGGCATTTATGCAGCAGATTAGTATGTAAATTTGAGAGGGATTTTAGACAGCGGAGTGGAGTGGTTTCTATAGTGCTCCTGGACATTGTTAGTTGCAGAATAGCATTACCGTTCCCAGCAGTGTGGTGTAAACTGCTCGTGTGATCTGCTGCCGGGTGGATGCAGGGTGCTCGGAATATTGCCGGCAGCTGACAAATAACCCTCCGCTTTCCTCTTCCTAGAGATTGAGCACACAGAAATGTGGGTGGGACTCAAGATTATCAGGAGAGTTTTACATTGTTTAAATAAAATATGCAAAAAAAGAAAAGAAAAAATATTCGGTGGATTTAGTATTACCCAAATCTGAAATTGGAAATAATTGAATTAAAATAGTTGAGAAGCAAAACAAACAAACAAAAAGGCAAAAGTCAAGAGACCAAAAATGTATGAGATAGAAACATGGTATCCCTCTGCAGGAAGAGTTAGGACAAACACAAAATGCATGTCTGTCTAGCTGGCTCCAGTGCCTGTGTTCTTGAACTCGTGGTGTAATCACTAAGGATAAGGCCCATTGGAATGTGAAGGGTTAACATCAAAGTGCTGGGTTCTGGGGAGTGGATACTGTGACATTTCCTCTCAACTCTGGAAATTAAGTTGATAGCAGCAGTATGAACGATTAAGAAAATGGGTTTAAAGGGAAATAGAGTTGTTTCATCAGAGTACTGTTATGAGAAGTTGTTCTATTTTGTGTGATATAGTATCATTACCAAGCAGCTGGGTTTTGTAGGTTGTTCATCACCTGATAATGGTGGATGCAGCCAGATCTGTCTTCCTCTCAGTCCAGTGTCCTGGGAATGTGGTTGCTTTCCAGGGTATGACCTACAGTCGGACCAAAAGAGCTGTGCAGCAACAGGTTAGTGGCATGGCTATTTGAGAGTCTGTCCTTGAAAAAGATTACATAAAAACAGTGTTACATTAGAATTATGCCAGGCTGAATTGCCTTTGCATTCTTGGTAGGAAATATGATTTTTAAAAATGTTGGAAGTGGGAAATAAATCCTGTGACTATGAATATAGTTTTTGAAGAATATTTATGCCCACTTAACTAAGTGGGCATCCAGCCACTTAAAGTAGGGTAAGGTATCTTTAGTAGATGAGGAGGCATCATGATACTGCTCTTAAGGGTATAATTAAGAGATGTTTAGTAAATATTGGTAGATTGATTCAATTTTGATATCTCTAGTAAATGTAATAATCATAACATTTTGATGAGTTCTGTCTTGTTCCTTCAACTTTAATGTGAAGTTTTATGCTTTCAACTGTTTCTTTTCATCCTCTGATATTATATCTTTTGTGTCTTTTGCTACCCTTGGGAATCCTAGATTTATGGCAAATTGAGTTGCCTGTTGAGGTTGATTATACTGATAATTGGAGATACTGTGATTCTGATTCTGTGAAGCTTGCCTAATTCTGACCCCAATATTCTTAAGTCCACAAGGTCTTGGTTAATGAAACACAGTAAACCTGGAGGGTGATTAGAGCATAGTATAAACTCAAGGAATCATGATTCTGTTTGAGAAGAGTGCCCAGCAAAGAAAATTAATTGATGAATTCAAAATGTGTGGATAACGGAGGTTACAAGACTTGAGTCATTTGTCTATGGTTTGGGTTTTTTAATCTTGCTCTTTCTATAAATAAGGACCCAGGGATGAAATCTTAACAGTGACATCTCAAAAGAGATAGAGGTCTTTGCCCACATCCCACACTGTTGGGGAACTGAGCAAGCTAGTACTGCAGGAATGAAAGAAAATGGTGTAATGAAAAGCAAGAGTGGCAAGTGTCAGCTTTTAATGCATGTTTTAAATTCAGCCATATGTGATATTTGGTTAACAGGACCACAGCCATTTTTACTGTTTGCAAATTCTCAAGATATCCGATACATGCATTTAGATGGAACAGACTACCGAACTCTTCTCAGTCGGCAAATGGGAACCGTTCTTGCCCTAGATTATGATCCGGTGGAAAACAAGGTACACTTTTTATTTTGCATGAACAGATACGAAGGTGCTGTTACATGACTGGGGGATTTTAGCTTCATTGATGACCTGGGCTACTTGAAAATCCTCTGCCATGCTCACAATAAACAGACTGAGAGCAAGTTAAATATACACATTTGAGGGACATCAAGGACTCTTGTGTGTTGTGATAACTCTGTCCTGTTCCTTTTTAGCCATATTACTGGCAGCATCCTTGTTTCACTTTTCCTCTCTGGAGGTGTAGGTGGGGCACTAGCATGAAGCTTTGCCCATAGACGTTGCCCATGAGTAGATTTTTGATTTTTTGTTAGTAGCAGGAGTTTCTGTCCTGCCTGCTCCCACAGCCATTTAGTCCCAAATAAACACACTGAGGCTTATATTAATTGTAAACTGTTTGGCCAATGGCTCATGCTTTTTATTGGCTAGCTCTCTCTTTATTATTAACCCATAACTATTAATCTATGTGTTTCTACAAGGCCTTATCTTCCCAGAGAATGTCCAGCATCCTATCTTCCCGGTAGCTACATGGTGCCTCTCCGTTGGCTCCTTTCTCCTTACTCTTCCCACCATTCTCCTAGTCTGGTAGCCCACCTATACTTCCTGCCTGGATACTGGCCAATCAGCCTTTATTCATCAACCAATAAGAGAACCATATACTGACAGCATGCAGAGAGACATCACCCATCATCAGTGGGTTGGGACTGGGGTATAAGAAGTATGAGTTAGTAATTGGCATATGATATACGTCACTGGGAGAGGGGACTTAATGACTTCTGAACTATGAAAATCAGGAAACAAGATTTGTGCTTATGTGGAAATAGCAGCCTAACATATAGCATCATTTACAGAAGGAAGTGGGAATGAACTTTAGTCAGGTGGCCATTTGTCATTCTTCGGTTAGTGTTCCTGTTTTCTTGCTACTCAGACTGTGGTCTTTGGGTCATCTGGAGCTTAATAGAACTGCAGAATTCTAGGCTTCACCAAAACCACTGAAGTAGAACCTGCATTTCAACAAGATTCCCAGGTGATTTGTATGAGAGAGAGAGAGATTAAGTCACTTATGTTTATATGTCTTCGGAAACAGCATAGTGTGTTCCATAGCCTGTATCTTTGACCTAGGAAGCACTTTGCACCTGCAAAGTTGGACAAGATGAGTGACTCCAGATGAAAGGAACTTTAATAAGTATCTGATATAATGTCCTCAATTCTGTAGTCTGGAAAATTGAGGCTTAGTTAAGCAAGAAAGTGGTAAAATTGACAGAGTGTCCATGTTTTCTGAATTGACCTGAAGTAGCATGCTGGGGACTGAACTAGTAACTCAGCTTGTGTCTCGCGTTCAGTTGCAGATCACAGCTTTCTGTCCAGCAGAAGGAACTTCTAGGGGTCGAATACAAATGGTATATCATTGACCAATAGTACAAAGTAACTAAATTACCACAATTGTGTGTGCATGCATGCGTGTGTGTGTGTGTGTGTGTGTGTGTGTGTGTCTGTGAGAGAGAGAAAGAGGGAGAGAGAAAGGGACGGAAGGAGGATAGAAGGGAGGAAGGGGGGGGGAAGAAAGGAAATACACAGAAAGAGACAGAGACAGCCTGTCTTAGCAGCAGCTCTTATAAAGAAAACATTTAATTGGGGCTGGCTTACAGGTTCAGAGGTCTAGTCCATTGTCATCACGGTGGGACATGGTGTTATGTAGGCAGACCTGGGGCTGGAGAAAGAGCTGAGAGTTCTACATCTGGATCTGCAGACAGCAGGAAGAGAGAGACTCTGGGTACCAAGTTCTCTCTTAGTCAGTGTGCTGTTGCTGTGAAGAGACACCATGACCACAGCAACTCTTATAAAACAAAACAAAAAACATTGAAGTAGGGCTGGCTTAGAGTTGAACTGTTCAGACCGTTGTCACCATAGCAGGAAACGAAGCAGCACACAGGGAGACATGGTGCTGGGGAGACAGCTGAGATCTACATCCAGATTTGTAGGAAACAGGGAGAGAGAGACACTAGGCCTGGCTTGAGCAGGTGAAACCTCAAAGCCCATCCCCAGTGATGGCCACACCTCCTACTAGCGCCATTGCTTGGTGACCAAGCATCCAAATCTATGAGCCTATGGGGCTTGTAGATTCTTATTCAAATCACCACACATAGATTAAGTTGCTTAAGGTTCCACATATTCAGGAGTAGCACAGTCAGAGCTTATTGTAGATAATGTCATCTCCGATAATTACATTCAATGACCTGAAGGTCTGTTAATCTCCTTTATGTATATTCTACATTAATATTTAGAAAGCAAGTCAGAAATGCCTAGTTCTCTTTTACAGATATATTTTGCACAGAAAGCCCTGAAGTGGATAGAGAGAGCTAACATGGATGGCTCCCAGCGAGAAAGACTTATCAAGGAAGGGGTTGACACACTAGAAGGCCTTGCTGTGGACTGGATCAGCCGGAGAATCTACTGGACAGACAGTGGGTATGTTTCTTGCTTTAGTTTTGTGTCGCAGGAGACAGAGGTGAGGAAACATGTGATACTCCAGCTGTGTCCTCTACTGTGAACGCCGAAGGAAATAGCTGGCCACTTGGCAAGGATGAGAGACAGATCCATTGTCTGTACCCCTCGCTCTTCCCCACCACCAAGCAAGACTCTCCTTTCATGGGACAGGGTCCACAGTGATTCGGGGATCTCAAGGACCAAGAAAGTGGCATGTGCTTTTGCAGTTCAGACAGTTGTTACCAGTGCAGCCTGAAACCTGTCTGAGAACTGCCAGGAAGTGTTTGCTTTGCATAAAGCTCTCTAGCCATCCTCCAGAAGACACACTAGAGGAGGGGATAGGAGCTGCCTTTGCAGTCAGTTCTAAGGTTACCTGAGAAGAAGGGCAGATTTCCCCATTAAGAAATGAATGCAAGTGCTTGGTGTAAATAAAGTTAGTAGAAGTATCAGGCCTCCCATAAACAGTTGCCAAATGAAAGAAAGGTATACATCACCAAAGGGATTGGTTGGCACAACCCCTTCATTTTACAGGTGAAGAACTTAAGGCCCAGAGAGGCTGAGGTTGTTCCTGGTGGTTTACAGAGCATGTGAGTGATAAGTCCTGCACTAAAACCCTAGTGCTGGCTCCTGCTGAGCAGGCATGAAGGAGAGAATGGAAATGTCCATGGAGGCAGAAAGACATGTTCTGAGGTTTGATAAGGTAGACTCTTTCCCTTTGTGGGAAACAAGAGGAGCAAAGTTGGGATATTCCTCTCCTCTAGGCACCTTCTGTCTCTGTGGCCTGTGTGAGCCCGAGAATAGGCAGAACCAGACAGGAGAGGGGCAGATGAGGAAAGGGGCCACCTCCTGTGTGGTGCTAAAGAGAACCCTCTTCCTTGTTGCTGGGAGAGAAGCATGAACAGACTCCCTCACAAGAAATGAGAAATGCTGAGATGCCGTGTGGTCTAGTTTTTCTTCCAAGTAACTGAAAACCACAGAGTGAATGGTAACCATCTGAACATCTGGGACCTGTGCAGCCATGTTAAAGGAAAAGAAAATGAATCAGAGTTTCACATCTGGGGGAATGGTAGCTCCAGCTCAGAGAGCAGAGTCTCAGGGAGCAGGCTAGGGTACCTTCACTCTGTTGTGTGTACAGAGCATCTCTGGTTATAGGAAGCAAACAGGTTCTTCACAGTGAGCCAGATGTACAGTGTGGTGTGCAGTTACCTATGGGACTACGTGTCCAGGTAGAGCATGGCTCTTTATTTACTTATTTAGTTTTCCCTTCATCCTTTATTGTTATTTGTGTATCTGTCTATTAAATAATTGCAGTATACCAGAGACTGTACTAAGTGTGTTCTATTCAGGATACTATGGAGCCCTGGAGAGGTCTGCTTTCCTATCTCTAAAGATCAAGAGAATTTATGATCAGAGTGCTAAAATAACTTTTCCAAGATTAAGCAGTGACCTCGAGGTTCCATGAATTACCACAGAAATGAGCTTGGGATGCTGCTTGGGGAAGAGGGTCCAGGTACCCCAAGACTTTCAGACACAGGTCCTGTCTCCTCCAGTCAGCATCAATGGATGAGACCCAGAGTCACGCAACAAATTGAAATCAAGTCCCGCCAAATCAGTTATAGCCATGATAATCACAACCTTCTCCGTGCTGAATCTACTTAAAAGCATATTCTCCGTGTCAGCTGTAGGTAATAACAGGGCTAGTATGTGGTTGTTTTCAGAAGTGTAAACACTTATCAGGACCACAGATGTCAACAGCTCCCTGCTCCCCTGAGGTAGCTCTCTTCTCATTCCCCACATTCAGGAGGCACCTCTAATTTCACCAGTGTGTGATTAGTGTCTCCTGCCCAGGTAGTGCCTTCAGGAGGAAGCTGGGTACAGCTGGGGACTGCAGGACCAGCCCTCCCATTCCTGCACGCACAGAAACTTCAGCAATAACAAACCCTCCTTCAGTCCTCACCCCTCCAAAGACAGCTGCTCACACAAAACCTTTCATTTGTCTGGAAATGAGAGGCTTGTAGTTTAAAAACCTTGATATTAGCTGGAAATGTGATTTAAATAACTGAGACTTTAATCCTAGGTGTTAGATTACATGGTAACGCTAAGTCAATGGGAAACCAAAGGGTGGGGGTGACTGTCTTTGTTGAGAAAAAGACACATGCATGTGGGCATGATACATGGATAAATCTGTACAATTATTAGTTAATATTAAGGAACCCTGACTCCTAAAGTTAGTTGAACCACAAAGGTAAAGATCCATGCATGCTTGTTCTCTGGGGGACTCTTGGTGGGTGACTCTTACCCATCCAGTGGGGGATCACAACAAATGTAACTTGTCCCTGGGTCTTTGCTTTCTTATCACCAGCCCTGGGGTCTGAGCTTTGCTTTCTGCCTGAACTGAAAAGCACCCTGGGGAGCCCATTGCATAACTGCCCCAGGCTGTGATGTAACAGTGAGATCAGAGAGGATGATTTTGGTACCCCGTCACACCTTCAGGAATCCTCCCCCTGCCAGGGAAGAGGAGAACACAGACGCCAAGGAACTGAAACCGTGGGGGAGTGAAGTGATGGAGAAGGGCAGATTGGTATACTCCATCTGCCTACAGCAATGTGGAATAAAATGGAAACCCATGTACATCTCCCCTGCTGTCCTTATGCTGGCTTGACCCCTCCTCCCCATGGCCTGTGACCTTTGGCTTCCATGAGTTCCAGCAAGAGATGGGAGGGTGCGAAGTGAAGGAGAATAAGTATTTACACTTTGGCTGTATCTCTGCCAGGCTGCTGACACAGTCCCCTTTACCCTATCCTGTGCCTGGGATGGATATGGGGTACTAGTTAGCTGGGGGCTTTTTTTGTTTGTTTGGTTGGTTGGTTGGTTGGTTATTTGGTTGTTTGGTTGGTTGATTGGTTATTTGGTTATTTGGTTGGTTGGTTTGGGTTTTCTGAGACAGAATTTCTCAGTGTCACCACTACTGTCCTGGAACTCTCTCTCTCTCTGTAGGCCAGGTTGATCTCCAACTCAGAAATCCACCTTCCTCTGCCTCCCAAGTGCTGGGTTTAAAGGCATGTGCTACCACTGCCTGGCTGGAATTTAAATCAATAGAACTTTGATGTGGAGGGCTTGCTGTTTCTAACTTTATAATTGTGTGTGCATGTGTATTTGTGTGTGTGTGTGTGTGTGTGTGTAAGAGAGGGGGGAAGAGAGAGACCATGTTTATGTATCAGCATGAGAAAAGGAATACTTTTAGTAGAAAAGTCATGTTGATATAATACCTCCCTACTTCAATACCTTTTAGGAAGTCTCTAATTGGAAGCAGTGATTTGAGTGGGGAGCATCATCAAATAATCATCAAGGAGAATATCTCAAAGCCACGAGGAATAGCTGTTCATCCAAAGGCCAAGTAGGTATTTATAAAAAGAAGGCACCGAATGCTAAGCTTATGTTCCTATTCACATCTAAGATGCTTATGCCCATGTCTAAGATGTTCACATCTAAGATGCCCATGTCTAAGATGCTCATGACCATGCTCATGTCTAAGATGCTCTTTTTTTTTTTTTTTTTTGCTAAGGCTGCAGGGGATCAGTGCAGTCATAAGCCAAGAAGATCTGTAAATTGTGTTCAGATATTCAGAACAGCATCCCTTGCTCAGCTCTCAGTCCTCATTAACCAATTAGACTTAAGCCTATGTGTCTACTTTCCTTAAAAATCTTGTGTTGTCAGAACTGGACAGACAGCTCCATGGTTAAGGACACTGACTGCTCTTCTAGAAAACCCCAGTTTGGTTCCCAGTACCCACACAGCTCATAGCCATATATAACTCCAGTTCCAGGAGACCTGATAACCTCTCTTGAGGCATGGAATGTTACGTATAATAAAAACACATTTAAATTTTTTCTTAATCTATATTGTTGTTTCTTGAGAAGAAAATGAAATCAGGAGTGTTGACTTTTCAACTCTATTCAGAAAAACCCTAAGATGACTTCAAATGCTAGGTCATTCTTAGAACCAGATAAGCAGAAATATGCTACTAACCATGAATTAGCATCACATTCTGGTTTGAGGGTAGAGAATTAAAGAGAACAAAGAATTTCTTCAGAGCTGCTAAAAAGCAAAGAGAAAGCTGAGTCTGTTTTATTTTTGATGGATATTTTATAGTACTCTCTGCACAATGAACTGATAGTAACTGATACTTGGCCAATTAGATGGTTAAAACAATGAGAACCCATCTCCAAATGAGCCAACTAGGTATTACTAAATTGATTTTAAAAATGTGTCTAGTTCATGAAAGTTAAAATCATCTTAGTAGTTATAGCACCTTGTATAAATCTAGGAAACAGGTAAATACACTGTGCCTTTATTGTAGTTTAATATGAGCATAATATAAGAATGAGCTTCCAAACTGGACAGTGGTGGCGCACCCTTTTATCCCAGCACTTGAAAGGCAGAGGCAGGTAGATCTCTGTGAGTTTGAGGCCAGCCTGGTCTACAGAGTGAGTTCTAAGACAACCAGTACTACACAGAGAAACAGTCTTGAAAAAGAAATGAGCTATCAAATTGATTGCTGTTAATTTAATACTGTTAATTCAAGCACAAATTTGATGAGTAATATTCTACAATTTTATATCAACTCCTTTTTCCATCTAATGATCATCTAATGATCATCTAATGTCCACGATGCTTTTCTACAGATGAGATAACAGGATTTTCATTTTTGTTTTTAATTGTTTATCATGCTGTGCTACATCTTCTCCCTGTATATTGCTTAGTGTACTACTTACTCTTTACAATGTAAAGTGATTTATATTGACATTTCAGTGTTGAAAGAATAGAAGTGTTTTTCATGCACATTTGACTTGTGAGTTTTCTTGATTGAAGGAGACTATTCTGGACAGACACAGGGATGTACCCACGGATTGAAAGCTCTTCTCTTCAGGGTTCTGGCCGGCTGCTGATAGCCAGCTCTGATCTGTGGGAGCCCAGTGGAATCACGATTGACTACTTAACAGACACTTTGTATTGGTGTGACACCAAGAAGTCTGTGATTGAAATGGCCAATCTGGATGGTTCCAAACGCCGAAGACTTGCCCAGAACGATGTAGGTGAGACTTTGGGGGTGGATGATTTTTTTTCCCTCTTTCTCTCTGTCATTCTATTACTTTTTAAAATTATGTACATATGTATTCTTTAGGGAATGTGTGCATATGAGTGCAGGTACCCACAAAGGCCAGAAGAGAGTGTCAGGTCCCTTGGAGTTGGAGTTATTGGTAATTGTGAGCAGGTTGATGCAGGTACTGGAAACCAAACATAGATTCCCTGCAAGAACAGTACTTTCTCTTGATAGCTAGGCCATCTCTCCAGACTCTCACCTCTTCATCTTGATTGAGCACTGATGAATGTTAAATCTAGACTCTACTTACATGCATATACACATTTAACCAAACTATCCAGATAGAAGTCTTCAAGAATTATAAAATAGATTACCTGAGCATTGAAATAATGAGTAAAAATTAATGTTGTATATAATCTGAGATTTTCCCAAATAAAAGTGGAAATCTTATTTTTTTTCTGAACTTATTTCAGAATAAAAATGTCATTTTTTCTGTCTTTTTAATCTGCCATTCCATAACCATGACACATTTCAGGAATTAATGAATGCCAGTTGAAAACATGGGCAGAGATTAATCAAGGAAGTTTTCTCTCCTTTTGCATTTTCAGATTCTTCATGGGATATCATACATTATCATAAATATCTTTAAAATGCTGAGCCAGGGGCTGGAGAGATGCTTTAAAAAAAAAAAAAAAAAAAAAAAAAGCACTTGCTCTTCTTCCGGAGGGCCTGGGTTTGGTTCCCAACAGCCACGTTGGGCAGCTCACAACCAACTCTAACTCCAGCTCCGAGGGTTTTAGCACCCTCCTCTCCTCTGCAAGTACCCACACACACATCCACACACAGATATACACAGAAACACACACACACACACACACACACACACACACACACACACACACGCCCATAGAAGAGAAGACCATGCAGCGCACAGTGGGAAATTCCTCTGGTCTCAGGGAGTCTGCAAGCATCTTTGGAACTGCACCATGTGCTGAACAGAACTACCAGGACAGAGTGACTGGGCCTAATTTTGGATTTACGAAGGAAACAGCAAATGTTCTGGAGCGAGGGGTACATGTGACAAGATCACAAGGCAGTGGTCAGAGTGAAGTCTAGAGAGAAGGAAGTCAATGAGCAAGTTACAGCGGCTGTCTAGGCGTCAGTCCATGAAGGCCCGGACTGTGCCTTGTTATGAAAAAGTGAAAGAGAAGATTGCGGTATTAAAACATTATGAATAAAATTTAGAGATGGTCTGATGGCAGGTTGATATAAGGAAAGATGAGAACCTGGAAGTGTCGGAGGAATGTTGGGTATTTAGGCCCTGGCTAGAAAGATTAAAAAAAAGAAAAAATCAGTCTCATATAGGAAGGAACTAACAAAATAGTCATTTTGCCAATTCTGTTTAGTTTATAGATAATAATTTTCTAGATAATATTACATACAATATAGAAAGAAAAAATACTTATATTGTATATATTTCCAAGATTGTCTAAAACAATTATATTCTTCATTTATCCACTTGACAGACATTCATTGATTTCTCATAGGGAATGAGGGATTTCTGGTAAGGAATAGAGGATTTCTCATCGGGTAGTGGCTGAAACAAATACAACTTTTGTAATGGAGTCTAATAGATAAGATATACTTTATATTTTAATGCTAACCAATTAAATAGAACTATAGCTTCATTATAAGAAGTATATATAAATGAATGTTCCTAACAGGATCTAAAAGCATCACGTTCTGAATTTAAAGACATAGTGTATAATACTTTATTTTATTCATTTTTGAGACAAGGTCTCACTATCTCAGGATAGATTTGAACTTACTATATAGAGGAGGATGACCTTGAACTTCTGACCGCCCTGCCTTCACCTCCAGAGTGCTGAGATGATAGACATATTCCCATACCCAATTTAGATGGTGCTGGAGACTAAACAAAGCTTTGTACACAACACACATGCACTTCACCAGCTGAGGTATACCCTTTGTAATTACAAGTGCTCTTACAATCTGAATAGTGCAATTTTCTCCTGAAAAGCAATATTAAACAATGTTATGTTTAATTATCTACTCATTCCTACTCTAGAGCGCCATCTACTGCAATACATGTGGTGTTTTCTCAATTGACAGTTGAGGATTTTCTTTTTCTTTTAATTTTATGTGTATGGGTATTTTGCTGGCATGTATGTCTGGTGGCCATGGTGGGCCAGAAGAGGATGTTGTATTCTGTGGAACTAGAATTACAGACAGTTTGAGGTGTCGTGTTGGTGCTGAGATTCTAACCTGAATCCTATTTTTTTTTTTTTTTGGTAGCCAGCACTCTTGACCACTGAACCATCTTTCCAGCCCCAACAGTTCAGGGTTGTTAATAAAAAGATTGAATGAATTCATCTTTAATTGAAGTGCAATTAATTGTGGCTCTTTGCCTTAAGATAAGGAAGGTTTTGTCCAGCTGGTGGTGCCAAAGTGAAGGGCAGGCTCCATGGCCATAACAAGTCATGTGAGTCTCCCACCACACGGGGGAGACATTTGCTTCACTTCTCCAAATCGGTTGAGGTGAACATGAGGAGGCGTCATGAAAGGTTCCAAAGTTTCCCTATGTCTGTCCCCTTCCCTCTGGTGTCTTAACTGCTTGAGACAGTGTGTGGCATTTGCCTGTGCTTGAACCCTGCTCACGGCAGTTCCTGGGGCCTGCAGAGGGGGTTTTGGTTGATGAGAGCTCAGAAGGCAGCCATGGAAATGGAGGCAGCAGATAGCATGCGTCCAAAAAAACCTCCCTTCAGCACAGCAGGGAATAGACAGCTAATGGGGTAAGGTGTGGTGCCAAGAGGCTGAGCTTGGGAAGGAGAGTGAATGCGAAGAGACAGGATCATCCTTGGCAGTGTAGGCCTGGGAGAAATAAGGAAGGATGATGTATAAGAATACAGAGCAGCCAGGAGACAGGAACTCAGGAACACAGTGATGGAGATGGACTTGGGAACACAGTGATAGAGATGGCAATTTAGAGTAACACTTGTTCAGTCACCTAAATTATTCTACTGCTCACGACAGCCATTCACATGACAGGGGAATCGAGACCAAGGGAAACACACTCAAATTCAGTCTCTGGCAGATGAGCACAGAACATTTTCCCTTATTGACCTCCTCCTTGGTGCTGTTAAGACCCTTGTAGGACAGCAGCTGCTCTGGATGTAGTGTAGTGGTTCTGAGCTTTGTTCCCTCGTAAATGCCCCTTTGTGACAGAAACCTAGCTGTACTGAGTGGATTTTTAATTGCTTCTAGGTCACCCATTTTCTGTAGCCGTCTTTGAGGATCACGTGTGGTTCTCGGATTGGGCTATCCCATCGGTAATAAGGGTGAACAAGAGGACTGGCCAAAATAGGGTACGTCTCCAAGGCAGCATGCTGAAGCCCTCGTCACTGGTTGTGGTCCATCCACTGGCAAAACCAGGTACACTGGAGAAGTCCCACAGGCCCTCCTGCACCGGAGGAGACTGTGGCCATGATAGCCAATGGTAGCAGGCAGTGGGGGTGGAGGGGATTTTGTGATTTTTTTTTTATCTGCATAAATGCCAAGATTTTCTGAGATTTGGGCATTTTTGAATCAAAACCCAGACAAACTTGGTAGTTTGGTAATTTGTACTTCATCCCTAATATGGCGATTTTAGTCATCTGGGCTTTATCCCACCAGCCACATCTCCCCTTGCTCCACTGTACTTACTGCTGCATTGCAAAGACGCTTGGGTAACAGAAAGAAGAATAAGATGGATGGATGGATAGATAGATAGATATGATTCATAGATGATAAATATAGACATGTAGTGCCCGTGCTACAATCTGTTTCACAAATCAGGCAAGGTCCTAGAGATTGAAATAAGAGACAATGTTCAATGGCAATGTTGGAATGCCAAATGCCGAATGATGTTTACTGAGGTGATGGTGTGGACTTAAATAACAGGATTTTCAGGCTTAGCTCCTTCCTATCAGGTGTGTGTTAACAAAACAGGAAGAGTAAAAATGACAACTTCAGGGGGCAGGAAGAGTACCAATAGCAGCTCTGGGGCAAGAAGTTCCAGCCAACAGCTTCAGGCTTGCTCAAGGTGCCTCGGGGCCCATGCAGGGCCCTACATAGACATATGACAAATAGTTATAGATATAATTATAGGGTAGGTGATAGATATAGATGATAGAAATAAAAATAGATAGATATGATCCATTAGAAATAGATCTAGATTACCACAAAGTATAAACAACCCAGTTAGTAACAAATAGAAACAATTGATACGTTAATAGTTATTGATTGAGGCAAGTCCCCCACAGTCCAGCAGCCAGTAGCAGGCCAAGGGTCAGTCATTCGGCTCTCCAGCAGCTCTTCTTCCTCAAGGTCTCCATGAGTTTGACTATATCGTGGATCAGGAAATAGGAATCGCGCCTGACTAACCACTAAACTAAACTACTGACTATGCTCAGCAATACTCATAAGCTAACACCATTCTGTGATGTCTTAGAATCAGGGCTTCCTTGCAGGAACTCCTGTGAGAGAGTTCTAGGCACGCCTTCCATTTAGAATGGCTGAGTTCTCACTGAAAGATGTCTTTGATTTGCATCAGCATCATTTCTCCAGACCCATCCACACATTCTCCCTATTCTCTGCAGGTGCAGATCCCTGCTTACACAAGAATGGTGGCTGTGAACATATCTGCCAAGACAGCCTTGGAACTGCTCAGTGTTTGTGTCGTACAGGTTTTGTGAAAGCCCGGGATGGGAAAAAGTGCCTTGCTCAGAAGGGTAAGTAGATACTGGCTGGCAATAGCATACTATGCTGTTGAATTATCTCACCCGGGCTCGGTACAGTGGGACATCCATGCTTCTGCTTTCGATGATTGTAAGGTTTTGTATTATTAAGTGCTCCCGTGTCTTCAGGAATGCCGAGTGTGTTTGGGTTTCTTCACCCCTCCCCCACGAGGTTTTTGTTGTTCCTTATTATAGACTAAATTAGATTGACTTGTAATTGTAGAGGCTTTAAACTTCACATTCTCCCCTATTTGTAGTGGGGTGTACTGAGCCTTAGAAACAAATGTCTGTATCATGCCACCTCATTAACAATGTTTAGAGACAGTTTGTTTAGAAATGTTATGTTCTTAATTTTAGGGTTCTGAAAGGCCATCTCCTTCCCACACTATAGGCCTTACTAGGAAAACTTGAGTCCTTTATAGAGATAACTTTACAGTATCAAGCCTTTCTGCCCTCAGTGCATGCCCAAACTAGGACTATCTGGAGTCATCTTTTGGTGTCTTCCTCCCAAAAATGTGCCAAGGAGAATTTATATTTTGTAAAGCCTTTTTAAAAAGTGTATAATTATTTGGTACGCATGTTATAAATATAAGTTAAATGACAGGTTGATAACAGTGAATGGATTGCTCTGTTCATGGAATGGAGATGGATATTTGGTTCTCAGACATTTTCCCCCTATGAATCTGTTGCCTTAGGATAATAGTTTCATACCTCTTAGATTCAGAACTCCTTTATGCTCTTAAAAGGCTTTTTAAGATCCCCAAAGGGTTTTTGTATATGTGAACTATATTTGTCAGTTCTTAGGATATTGAAATTTTCGATCTTAATTCCAATGATATTAAAAATAAACCTAATATTTCTCAGCATAGCATATTCTATAAGAATAACTATATATATTTTCCAACACAAAACAATATCTAGTGAGAAGAGAGGTGTTGTTTTACATTTCTGTCTTTAAGTCTAGCAGAGCAGGCAGCAATGGAGTATCCTGGCCCCTTCTGTATTGTTCTGTTTGACAGGGTGTGAAGCACACATGACCCGTGGGTTTGTAGATGGAAAGGTGGAGGGGGGGCGCACACACACACACACACACACACACACACACACACACACACACACACACGGAGTGTCACCTAACAGTTGAAAGGAGTTACCTTTTGGGGGAATATTGCTCTTTGGCCATCAGAACTGCTCAGGCCCTAGTTCCCTAATTACCTGCCATGAGGAATCCGACATGTGAAGCAGATGCTGCCAGCTGTTTCTTTTGGAAGTGGCAGGGCCCACTTGATTCATTTTTGAGGAAAGTCTTGCCAGTTACTTGTGGCTTGCTGTTCATCATGCTTTTAGAATAGTCATGTTGAACGGAGAAAGGGAAGATTTCAACTCACAACTCAAAAATTACTTGTGTGCTTTTTCTCCAGGCAACTGTTACAACTTCAGTAGGAATAACGTGCGTTATTCATTTTATTATATAGGGTAGGAAAGTTCCAGGGTTAATGGCCAAGAGGTCTAAAAATTAGCAATACTTGTTTCTTCTGTGAGGGCACAGGGTGGGTAGTGGAGGCCTCAGCTCATGGTGAACATTGGTGTTATTCTCTCTGCTTGTGCTATAACAACCCCATTTCCCCCCCCCCCGCCGCCTTGCTGTACCAATATTAATGTGCACATGGCAGAAAGAGTAGCTTTCTACTGTGATGCATGGAACCCTGGTGCCTCGGATGCTGTGCAGAGGGACCCAGGCTTCTGTGTGGCACAGTGTTGTCCTGGGGACTCCATGTCTTTCTCTCGGGGGCGGTGAGCTGTGGGTTACTATAGGACTTTTAATGCACGTCAACTTTAAAAATACAGTTAAATCCATCTATTTTTAATATGAAAGCAGGACAAAGGAAGGAGCTAATATAAAAGACAGGGTGGTGGCACATGCCTTTAACCTCAACACTGGGGAGGTGGATCTCTGGGAGTTTGTGGCCAGCCTGGTCTATAAAGCAAGTTCTAGGACAGCTAAGGCAGTTACACAGAGAAGCCCTGAAGAAAAACAAAAAAACAAAGACCAATAACCAAAAACAGGAAAAAAAAAAAAAAGACAGGTTGGGGAGAGATGCTGTTATTGTGGCCTGTAGTTCTGAGCTGATTACATTCAGAAGGAGTTTGATATGTGAGCATTGTTCCTCAGTCTGAATTCATAGCCAATGAATCACTATCAGTGTAAGTTAAATCAAACGTCCCTTGAAATGGAAAGGCTTAACTAATAGAGGCTTTGTCTCACAGGTAACAGCACCGAGCTAAATAAAGAGGCAATATCGTTGGGCAACTTCACTAAGGCCGAAGCACCAGAAGATAACAGTCTAGAATCCCAGCACACGTTAGTGGCTGAAATCATGGTGTCAGGTATGAACTGTGAGGTCTCCCTGATAGCTGTGGGTCTAACAGCTTCCATTCTCCCAGTAAGAAGTTCTGTGCCTGTGCTCCCTAACACAATATTGGCTAAGTCTACCGTAGCCCAACCTCAGACCCAGGCCCTCCTCTTCTAAAAAGCATGTGCAGCCCTGTAGGCTGCAACCCGTTGTCTTAGACTTGGACTGGACATGTTGGCAGCCTCGAGGCTGAACCCTTTGACAGGTAATTGAAATCAGAGGTGACAATTAGGGTAGAAGAGACTTAAGTGTCCCTCACTTATGCCTCCTATGGACAGTACGTGCTCTATCTAGCCCCTGGGGAAAGTCGGGAGCAGTATTTAATTGGTACTTTAATTACTGTCGGAACTCCAGAAACAGAAAATATTAAAAGTCCTTGTCTAAGTTGCAAATTTATCAGCAGAATGTCAATTGATTGTTCAGTATCTAGCAACTTTAGGGAACCCCAGTCTATTCTGTTCTGTGTTCACTCATAAGGCAAGTAGTTTCCAGATGAGCCCTAGAGCTACTGCAAACCCACCCTGTCTCAGACCCCAGCTCACTGCCCTTCACTTGGTGTAGTTCATTTTGCCTCTTAAACATTCAATTCATGTATGTGTATATATAGCATAAAATATTCCTTTTATTCTTCCTATGTTTGTGTATGTAGTATGTTTGTTTGCATGTTTGCTTGTGTGTGTGTTTATGTGTGAGGCTAGAAGTTAATGTCGGATGTCTTCTTTCACACTTTCCACTTTATATATTAAAACAGGATCTCCTGAACCCACAGATTGTTCCAGAACATGCCCTGTCTCCATTTTCCAAGCACTGGGGTTATAGAGAGGCTGGGACACCCACCTGCGGGGGTCCTAACTTTATTCACAGAGCCATTTCCTCAGCCCACTGAGTAACATTTTAACATCGTGTCTGTAGCTCTTAAATGTTTGAAAACTCCCCGATGATGATGTTTAAGTGCTGATGCTCAAACCCAAGGCTTTACCCATGCTGGGACCACTGGGCTACACCCTCAATCCTATTTATTAAGCTATCACTAGGCCTTTCTTTTTCTTTTCTTTTCTTGTTTGTTTTTGTTTTTGTTTTTGTTTTGTTTTCAAGACAAGGTTTTTCTGTATTGCTTTGGAGGCTGTCCTGGAACTCGCTCTGTAGACCAAACAGGCTGGCCTGGAACTCACAGAGATCTGACCACCTCTGCCTCCTGAGTGCTGGGATTAAAGGCACGCACCACCAACACCTGGCTAGGCCTTTCTTTTTAATGATTAAAATGTTTTAGTTATTTATGTGTATGGCTGTGTTCCTACATGTATGTCTGCACACCACTAAGTGCTGGTCCTCAGATCCTCTGAGACTGGGGTTACAGATGTCTGTGCACAGCCATATGGGTGTGCACATCAAACCAAGGTCCTCTGGAAGGGCAGCAAGTGCCATTAGCCATGAAGCCAAGTCTACAACCTTGACTATGCCCGTTTTTTAACATCTTTATTTAGATATGTGTAGTAAATTTTTATTTGCAGAGAATGTTTTAAACCAACACTTTTCCCTTGGGTTTCTACAACATGCATGGAAAGCTTCCCTTGTAGAAATCCCTGCTCATAATATAGAGGAAAGGTGAACATCGCCACCATGTGTACAGCTAGCCTGTCACATAAAGAACTCTGGTTGTAGCCCATGCCACCTACTGCATGTCTGTTGCTTTCCATCATGCAAAGCGACTCAAGGTTTGCAAAAGTCCTGAGTCATATTCTACTTTAGGATGATTTTACAGCGGTTTCAAATGTTTGGTGTGATTTGGATACTGCCCGCTCCTGCTCTCAGCAGCCTTGTGAGTTGTGGGTGACAGGGAGTGACCAAGCCATTGTGAAAGGCATGTCTTCACACAGGAGAAAAACTTGGTTAAGTAGCTAAGCATATGAAACACAAAACCCACAATTTAACCAGTATCTGCAGCTACATGGGACTCGAACCCAGCTTAGAAAGTGTAACATTTGATTTACAAAAAAAAAAAAAAAAAAAAAAAAAAAACCGAGCTCAGTAGGATTCATTTTATGTCTCCTGTACACTGTAAACAAATGTTCCAGTGACCAGAGCAATGATGGTTCATAGGCTGCTCGGTATGTCAGATATTCCAACTCAGAAAAGGAGGAGGTGGGTGGTATTTGGGGAATGATTATATGCACAAGCAGTTAAAACAGAAAGGCAAGAAACAAAGAAAAACTTGCTCATGTCTGTAGCTTGACGTGTAACTCTGTCCCCTGGGGCATTTGCATTTCAGTGGAGTATGAAATGAAGTGATCCTTTTACAGTGTTTGACTTGTATGGTTCGTGACTTTGAGAAGTGCCAGGAGGGTTACAAGTCAGTGCATAAATCTTGATAATAAGCACACACGGAGACATATATCCTATTAGATATGAAACATGATATTAGTAAATTGATAATAAATCCTTTTGTGAGTCAATCTCTTTGCCATAAACAGATCTGCTTGCTACATACAAGTCTGTGTTTTGGGAGAATAGACAGGCCTTTTGTATGTCACAATAGTTGGGAATTTTTAGTAAAATCCTCTTAAAATTAGAGTTTATTTTAAGCACGCCTTGTACAGATGCCTTAAGCTAATTTTAAACAAGTCCACACAGAGCTCTCTGAACACCGAGATTGAGGTTTAGCTCAACACGTGGGAGAATGAGATAGAAGGATCCCATGTTAGGTCCAGCCTTGGCTACTGGCTACGAACCAGAACAGCAACAAAACCACAACCAATAAACCAAAAGCAAAGCAAAACTAGCAAGGACACAAAAAATGCAACCGAAGGTTGGGCAGTGCATGGAAGCAGCAGCGAGATGTATCTTCTAAGTCTAGTAAAACAGATACAGTGGACAGACCTAACCAGTTCTTTCTGTTGGGAGGCTAGCCCAGACTTGAACCTCAGGCAGTGCTGGGTTGTTCTGTTCAGCACATTGAGGTCCCCTGTCTTCTCTGAAGACTGGCAATAATTGCAAAGGGTTTGCATTTGCAGATCAAGACGATTGTGGCCCTGGGTCATGTGGCAGGCATGCTCACTGTGTTTCAGAGGGAGAGACTGCTGTGTGTCAGTGTTTGGAAGGATTTGCTGGGCACGGAAACCTGTGTTCTGGTAAGAGCAAAAGCCAAATACACAAAGTTGGAAAACTGTGAATCGGAACAATTCATTTTGCATTTGCTGACTAAAAATCTCCATATGGATTTAAGAAATCAATAGGTTTAAATAAATTATTTGATGTTAGAAAAAAATGTATTCTCTGCACAGAAAATGAGCCATATAAGCACATTTACATATAATGCTATCTCACATTATACTGATGTTGTATTAAAAGTATACAAAAAAATAAAGTTGATACTAAGAAGCATGGATTTGAGCTCAAGTCAGACTTATAAATTCACAAAAATAGAACATTTTCCCGAGAAAGCTTATAGATATGTTTTAGTAAAACAAACAGATTGTGATGGATAGATTTTGATTTTATATTGGTAGCCTTAAATTGTAAGTTGCTGATTTCTGGGAAAATGTCAGTCCTTGTCCTCTGGAACTCAGGCAGAAAGTAATTTACTTAGATGTACTTAGCTATTTGGACAGGTGAGAACTTCATAAAAATTAATTAAGAAATGAAATTCAAATATAAAATGTAGGGTTTGCATTTTATTTCCTATAATTAAGAAATGAAATTCAAATCCAAAATGTAGGGTTTGCATTTTATTCCCTAACAGTACCTGTTAGCAGCCAACCGACTGACTATACAAAGGCTTAGTTTTTCTTCTATTCCTGATATTTATTTCCAGGGTTGCCAAAACCAGTGGTTCTCAGCCTTCCTAATGCTGTGATCCTTTAGTACAGTTCATCATGCTGTGCTGACCCCCAACCATAAAATTATTTCATCGCTACTTTGTAACTGTCATTTCGCTACTATTATGAATCATCATGTAAATGCCTGATGTGCAGGATATCTGAAATGCAACCCCTGTTGGGGGTCATGACCCACCGGTTGAAAACCATTGCTGGCCTAAATGTTTCCCGTGTCCATATGCTCCCCCACAGATATAGATGAATGTGCGCTGGGTAGTGCGAGCTGTCCTGCCACATCGTCCAAGTGTATCAACACTGAAGGTGGCTATGTCTGCAGGTGCTCGGAAGGCTATGACGGAGATGGAATCAAGTGTCTGGGTGAGAGCGCACAGGTGTCAGTGGGCAAGGGAGGGGGAGGAGGCAAGCCAAAGAGAGTCATCAAAAGTTGTGGTTGCTGTGGGCCAAGAGAAGCAGGACACAATTGGAGGGAGACACGTGTCAAGGATAAAAGAGAAGTTCAGACAGATGTAGTTTAGGTCTCGGTAAACAGTCTCTTGGCTGCACTGCACAAGCCAAGCTGCCGAGGAGGTCCTCTGCCTCTTTGCCTTCTTGGTTCCTCCTCGGGGGTTTGAGGGATGGAGGCTCATCGGTGCTCGGTGTTGTAGGCAGTCAGTGGGCAGCCGGGCAGCATTTCTTTGTCACTGAGTGTAGCAACTGGACTTTGGTGCAATGCAGAGCTGGCGTGGGTGTGTTGGGAGTCGCTGTGTGCTTAAAGAAAAGGACGGAGGCTCCCAGGCAGGCGTAGCGTAGGGTGTTTCTTGCTAGTTCAATTGAGGAGAGTTTCCAGCACTGACATTTCACCCCAGGTACAGAATGATTGAAAGCCCTTTCATAACCGCCCTCCCCTGCCAAGGACTGGGTGGGGCTGTGGGCTGGGAGTTCACCCTGTGGATGTCTTCTGCCGCCCCAGGCGTCAGCATCACCACGCAAGTGGGAGCCTGCCCTAGGCCACCCTCACCTAGCACAGAGCTTAGTCATTTTCCCAGGGTTTCCTGGCTCCTCTTCTGGGCTTTTCCTTCTTCTGAAAACAAACAGCGAAGGGTAGATGCCTGATTTAAAAAAAAAAAAAAGAACTCAAGTGATGGTGTTTTCTCTCCCATGTGAAGGTCATGACTATCCATTTGTGGATCTGGTTGGCTTAAGCCAGACGTTATCAGAGTTGGTCTGTGCAGCCCATAGACATCTGAAAACACACGTTTAAGCACACATTTGGCAGGCAGTCAGGAAAATGTCACTGCACTAATTAAGCAGGCTCACAGATATTTGGGGCAAACAGACGTCATATTTCATTTCTTTTGAAGAGAAAAGAAGGTATATTTTCTCAGAGACTTAAACTCTTTATAGACTCTAGATTCCCTCTCTCACTAACCTACCAAATATGCCAAAGGGTGTCATGGCCCTACCTTGCCTAGCTCTATGGGGTCCTCGGGACCATAAAAGCTATAGGTATGTTTGTGTTTCCTACCACTGTACCGTGTGTGTGTGTGTGTGTGTGTGTGTGTGTGTGTGTATTTGATAAAGTAGGTGTCTTAATTGGGGTTACTGTTGCTATGATGAAACACCAAGACCAAAGCAACTTGGGGAGGAGAAGGTTTATACCAGATTACACTTCCAGGTAACAAAATAGTCCATCATGGAAGAAAGTCAGTACAGGAAGTAAAATGAGGCAGGAACCTGGAGGCAGGAGCTGATGAAGAGGCCAGGGAGGGGTGATGTTTACTGGCTTGCTCACCTCTTATTTGGTTTGTTTGTTTGTTTGTTTTTCAAGACAGGGTTTCTCTGTGTAGCTTTGGAGCCTGTCCTGGAACTCGCTCTGTAGACTAGACTGGCCTAGAACTCACAGAGATCTGCCTGCCTCTGTCTCCCATCAGCCTCTTTTGTTAACCCAGGACCACCAGCCCACATCAATCACTAATTAAGAAAATGCTCTCCAGGCTTGCCTACAGCTCAGTCGTATGGAGGCATTTCTTAGTTGTGGTTCCCTCCTCTCAGATGACTCCAGTCTGTGTCAAGCTGACATAAAATTGGACAGGACAGTAGGTGATAGGCTTCAAGCCATACCTGGGACATCCATTCTATAGAAAATTATTGTTGGGATGCTAAGACGGCTCAGTGGGTAAAGATGCCTGCTGCCAAGCTCAATGACCTAAATTCAATCCCTAGGACCCACATAAAGATGGAAAAGAGTTAACTATAAGCCGACCTTTGACTTCTGCATGTAGACATACACACACACAAATAAGTGAGAATTTAAAAAAAGAGAGTGTCAAAGTGTCTCAACAGTGCATGATTGCTTTTTTTTTTTTTTTTTTTTTTTTTTTTTTTTTTTTTTGAGACCGGTTTTCTCTGGACTGTCCTGGAACTATCTTTGTATACCAGGCTAACCTTGAACTCACAGAGATCAGTCTCCCTCTGCGTCTCAAGTGCTGGGATTAAAGGTGTGCACCACCAATGCCTGGCTCAGTGCAAGATTGTTTTGCTTTGGGTAAGAGTGAGCTCTGTCAAACAAAGACAGGATTTGCGACTCGATTAAAGCAGGAATTCTGATTTTGTTTGTTTCGTTTACATCAACTTGAGGACTGGAGTCATGGCACATAAGTAAAGTACTTGTGTGGCATATGTAAGGACAGAGATTCAGTCTCAGAAGTTCCAGAAAGGGGAATAATTCAAAACCATAGGAAACGAAGGACACAAGCTATTTTGATGCGTTCAGAATAGTAACTCCAAGTCCTTAGTCTCCATTGGGCCCACAGGCAGTAGGAACTGTGAGGAATATCAAGATGAGGAAGCCAGTACTTGCTTGCCAATAGACCACCATCCCAAAGAAACTTGGCTTTGATAAGAGACAAAGAGAAGCAGAAACACAATGAAGCCGAGAACAGGAGGGCTATCTGCTCAAGGTCTCAGGCAAGATTTCCCAAAGGAAGCGTCATTTTGGAGGGACTGTGGAGAATGAGTAAATGTTAATTAAGCAGAAGTATGAAAGGGTGAGGGGTATCCAGATGTGAACAAATCATGTACCTGGGGAGTGAGGATGAATGCCAGGTCCAGCCTGTGTGTGTGAGCGGTGGGCAGCACAGTACAGAGACAGGATGGCTTAGATCACAGAAACTTGCTTCCCTTGCTCTAGAGGCTGCAGCCCTAATGCAGGTGCTGGCTGGGGTAGTTTTGGTGAATGGGCCATTTTTGGCTTACGGAAGCCACCTTCTTGCTGCAACCTCAGTTCCTCCTCTATGGTGCTCCTTCCTCTGTGAAAGACACCGGTCCAACAGGACACCCTCCTCCTGCTCTTGTTTAACCTTAGACAGCTCCTTACAAACGCTGTCTCAGGTGCAATCCCCTGGGCGCTAGGTTGTCAGGGTTTGAACATGTGGAGAGGTGTTCCAGTCCCTTCTATTAGCAGAAGTCTGAGAGGCGGCTCTTGTAGCTTTTTAGTTTCTTGCATCAGCCCTTTCTTAAGCTTTCTAGCTGGCATTTTATGAAAATTAAAAGGAAGTAGGTGATATTAACTTTAATCGTATATTGTATGTGTTCTACTATATCTAAAATATTAACATTTTACTATGCAATCAGTATTTTAGATGCTTATACTTTAACTTGCATCAGAACGTAAAACTCTGGTGCAGACGTTGAACTGGCAGCACAGTATGGACTAGAGGGCTAGACACATTTAGAGAGCCAGTACTCCCTCCCGCAGGAAATGCCTTGCTGTACGGGACGGCACAACTGTAGATAACAGACAAGCATGTCCCTAAAGTGGCACAGTTGTGAGCTCTCCGCTGTGTGATCTAAGGAGGCTCTTGTGTTTGGGAGTGGCCTGGAGGAGATATGGGATGCTGGAATAGAGCAAGGCAGCTGTCCTTATAGTAATTAGCACAGACATAGAAAGACCTAACTGAGAAGGACAAAGGCTGGCAGCAGGGCTAAAGGAAGGTTTATTTATTTATATAACTCATACTAATGTTTTGGAAAGTATTGTATTTATGCCAATAGCTGAGTGTCTAGTTGTAAAAATGAGGTGTGAGTGTTAGGATATCACATGCTGATTGCTCGCTGGAGGTGCTCTCCTGACCTCTGGCCTGGACACGTCTTCCTTCCGAAAGGGATGGAAATCGTATCAGGAGCTTACAACCCCTGAGTTGGTGTGATCTTTATGTCCAACATTCATGGCAGTACCCTTAAAATGCACATGTTCCTGGAGCATGAGGCAGCACACCGCGAGGAAACCCCTTGTAGACCGCTGGACTCTGGCTCCATAACCCTGCTCCCTTCCCTTTCTCTCCTCACTTCTTCCTCTCACAGATATTGATGAGTGCCAGCAGGGAGCGCACAGCTGTGGCAAGAATGCCAACTGTACCAACACGGAGGGAGGCTATGACTGCACTTGCATGGGCCTTCCATTTGCACCTGGAATGCCTTGTCCTGGTAGGTGGATGGGTGGTCCAGGTCAACCGGGAGGAACGTGGTTCAGAAAATCCTCATTGCCTTGGGAATGCTAGAAAGCATTGTTTAATCGGGCTGGAAAGCTGGGTTTCATCACAAGATTGAAGCTGGGCAGCAGACGTGGAGACAATGCGGGCTTTGTTAACTTCACAGCATCTGTAATAAACCTACCACCACCACCACCACCACCACCATCACCACCACCATCACCACCACCATCATCACCACCACTATCACCACCATCACCACCACCATTACCATTACCACCACCATCACCACCACCACCACCATCACCACCACCACCACCATCACCAGCACCACCACCACCACCATCACCACCACCATCACCACCACCATTACCATTACCACCACCATCACCACCACCACCACCACCACCATTACCATTACCACCACCATCACCACCACCTCCACCACCACTATCACCACCATCACCACCACCACCACCACCATCACCACCACCACCACCACCATTACCATCACCACCACCATCACCATCACCACCACTATTGCCACCATCACCACCACCATCACCACCACCACCACCATCACCACCACCACCATCACCACCACCACCACCATCACCACCACCACCACCATCACCATCACCACCACTATCACCACCACTATCACCACCACCACCACCACCACCACCATCACCACCATCACCACCACCATCACCACCATCACCACCATCACCACCACCATCATCATCACTATTCCAAAAAGATGAGTATAGGTGGTTCTCCTTAACTCTGTGACTACTTTCCATTGGTTGGTTGTTTTCAGAGGCTGTGGAAAACTTTGTTGGCCTAGGCAGGTCAAGACTATACAACTGGACTTGTAATAGTATATTTTGTTTATTTCAGCACATACAAATGTTAGGACTTTCAGAGCTAACCAGTATAAAATTTTATATCTACTTGAGTTTTGGTACAAACCTTAAAAATGTGGTGTGTATTTTACACACACAGTGCACCTCAGTATGTACTACAGGCCAGGGCACTGTGTTGCTCAGCACGGGAAACCTCTAGCAGCATTTCAGTGGTGTGGAACAGTAATGGGAGAAGAGTCACTTTCAAGGACGGGGTTTCTCTGTGTAACAGCCCAGGCAGTGCTGGAACATCTTTGTAGACCAGGCTGGCCTCGAACTCACAAAGATCTGCCTGCCCCTGCCTCGCTGGTACAGGACTAAAGGTGTGCACCAAGGATTTTTCAAGGATTACGTTCAAGGATTTTTAAATTGCTTTTTAAAGTCAGCGTGTCTTGAGGTGAATTAGCAACCCAGCCAGCTTTTGTTTCTTTAAAACAGTCACCACTACTAAATTTCACTTCACAAACCACGACATCTGCGCCCCACAAAGCAGCTGGGTTCTCAAAGGCCCAGACTGCCAGGATAGAGCTCTTGCCCTCAGCTCTGCAGGGAAGTCCTTTCTTGCCTCGGCTTTTATAATGAACTGTTTTATTTCTTTCTTTTTTTTTTTTTTCTCAGATACTTTCCTCCATTCTAAAGGTATTGAAGATAAGTTATGGTGGCTGGTGCGCACAATCCCAGTAGTTGGGAGGCTGAGGCACGGGGATTGCCACGGGTTTGAGGACATCCTGAGCATCTGAGAGACCTTGCCTCCTCTAAAATAAAAATAATAATAATAAAGACAAAGAAAAAGCCCTGTGAAACTTCTTTGTCAGTTGCACGCCCCAATGCCTTCCCTTTAAGAAGTAGGAAACTATTCAAAACCAGGATGTTTTGCCTCTTTGACTTTCTTCCATTACTGTAGCACTCTCTTCCAGACAGTTGCTAGGGTGGCCCCTCCTTTCTTTGTCTCTAGTGTCTGACATCCCAAATCCAGAGAAAGAAGTATAGCACAAATAATAAAACCCAGAGACCGATGCTGGGGTTCAAGCTGAAGATCAGAGAAGCGAAGCAGCCAACCACTAGAGAGCTCTTACCTCTACCAAGGCTGGGGCGAACCTGTCCTCACTGTGACTGCAGACTGAATACACCGTACTCCTGTCTCCACCTGCCTTACATTCCTCTCCCGAGCTGGGATTAAAGGCATGCACCACCTCTGCCTGGCCTCCATGGCTGCTAGTGTGGCTAGCTTTGCACGCTGATCTTCAGGCAAGCTTTATTTGTTAGATCATAAACAAAGTATCACTACAAAGAAGGGCTTTGCTTCTTGGTGACTGACACAAGGCTTGGTTAGGAAGGTGGAACTTACAACTCCCCATGCTCGCACTGTAAGCTGTTCGTAGAAACTCAAAATAAAAGTCACATCTTTGACTATTCCAGGCTCTACCTCACCCCCTATCCTGGGGGAAGATGGCCGCCAGTTGGTCAGAAATAGTAACCCAGGATGTCCGCCGTCGCACGATGGATACTGTCTCCATGGTGGCGTGTGCATGTACGTTGAACCAGTGGACAGCTACGTGTGCAAGTAAGTCAGGGGTCTTTCTGATGGCACAAGAGAACATTGTGCCCATGACTTCCAGGAAGTTTGTGAAGTTTAGACAGAGGAGATTTTTCTATCAGAAGGGGAGACTTGCTTTTTATTTGAGTAACTTGATGAACATAGTCTGGAGATCCAGCTCCTCATTCAACATGAAGGAGGCAGATCTGTAGGAAATTTACTAAAACCAGTTTAGTTTGAGCCAGATTCTATATTTATAAAAATGTTGCACCTATAGTTACACTAGATTTATTGCCTCTAGTGTTTAAAGCTAAAAGAAAAGTTTCCCTTTTTTTGTCTTGGTAGTCGAGGTCGAGGGATGAAACAGCTGCTGTTTGCTTCCATTTAGCTCCCCCGAGCAATATGGCAGGCCAAGTTTTCACCTGAAGAGATTCTAGAGACCCAGAGCTCTGAGACGCTCCCATGGCTCCCACACAGAAAGCCTTTCTGTGTAATAAAAGGCACGTGTGGGGCTGGGGAGAGGATGAGTCAGCAAAGGAAGGGAGCCTGCATTCAGATCTCTGGCACCCAGATAAACAGGCAGGTGGAACAATGTGAGCTTGTGCCCCAACCCTGGAGAGGTGCAGACAGGGGCTCCCCAGCGCCTCCTGCATCAATGAGCTCCAGGTTCACTGAGAGACCATGTCTCTAAATAGAAGGTGGAATTGCTGGGCAGGCTCACTGGCTAAAAACTCTCCCAACCACGCCTGGGACCTGAGTTCAGTCACTGAGATTCACATGGCGGAAGGAGATGCTCTGTGGCATCTATGCATGCATGCGCACACACACACATAAACATATATACACACTTATACACATACATACACACACATATATATTCACATATACCCATGCACACATATACATACATCCATACACACATACACACACATACATCCATACACACACATACATCCATATACACACATACACACATAGGCACACATACCCGTACATACATATACCTATACAGGTATACACACATGCACACATACACCTACAACCATACACCAATATAAGCATACACACATGCACCCATACACACACACACACACACACACACACATACATACATCCATACATGCATACACCCATACACACAAATAAATAAATAAATAATAAATAAATAAATAACAACAGTGGAGAGCAAGGGGGGAGGGTGACTAATGTCTGTTTCTGGTCCCCACATGCACTTGCATGCACACATAAATACATATATCCACACACAGAGAAACCCAAATATGTGGGATCTAATTCGGGACGGCATCTTACTTTTAATGAATTTCACATGTCCAAAGCAATGTGAGGATGGGACAGATGTGTAATATGCATAGTCCCCCGTGGCTGGACCTGTGATCCTACTGAGTAGATGGTATGGGCTTAAGCATTTCTGTCATTTTTGTTAATAATAATGAAAAAGAGTGAGTTATTGGAGGGAGAAGAAGCTATATGCTTCGACAGAGCATATGGTCTTACATTAAAAATCATGCCAGCATGACAAAGATTGTGGAACTGTTTGGAAACATTAGTAAAAATGACTCAAATTACAGTAGAGTTCCGCTTTCAGTTCATATTTACATACTGCAATTTTCTAACTCTAGAGTCTTTTAAATCTCTTAAGACTTATAATAAATTCTAGTTAATAGTCTTAAATGTTAGCAACCAGTTGTTTCTATCTACACATTTTATCCTATTCTACCAAATAGGAAATTACAAACCCGGATGTCTAGCTGATTGTCTATGGCTTATTTCCTCCATGGTAGTTAACTTTGCAGTATGAGGAATACCAAAGGACTACAGTGCATTGCAATAGTGCAGTTTCCGTTTTAATCCGATTCTGATGATTCGTCCACACACCTTTCTTTCTAGCATTAAGTCCCTATGAAAGCATCATCTTCCTTTGGTTGTGCTCTAAACACAGGTTACCAAAAGGTGACAATTAAGTCGGGCGGGACAAAGACACAGGCGTGCACCTGAAATCCCAGCACTAGGGAAGTAGGAGGAGGAGAATCAGGAGTTCTAGGTACACAGTTAATTGAAAGCCAGCCCGGGCCTTGGAAGACCCTATTTTAAGTAAACAAACAAAAGATAACACATGCAATGTTTAAGATCACTGGTGTTCACAGTCACTGGACCATAACTTTATTTTGGATTGCTTTAATAAAAATGTGGTTTAACAAGTTTTCAGAACTTTGCTCCATTTGTCCTGTCAACTTCCCTTACATTGTATTAACTCCTCAGTGACAAACCTCAGGGGGTGCCCGTCAGTGCAGCTTTATCAGGAGCACTTTGCTGTCTCTGCACAGAGCGGTTTCTAAGGCCTTCTTTCCCTGCTGGCAGCAAGATATGGAGCCAAGGCCCCTTGATGAAGGGGGTGGGGACAGGCTGGAGGCATCCTCGGCACTGGCTATCTATAACTTTGTCTACTTGGATGCTTGGGATGGTCCAACCTCTTGAGCTCAGAGGAGGCCTTCATTCTCTCTGGCTTGGCTTTAGCTAAACACCCTCCTAACACACCTTTACAAAGTAGGACCCCCTACAGCAGGGCTGTGATGTTTCCAGAGGACAGGTCAGATTGGAGAATGTTCTGCCACTCCTCACAGACTCCTGACTACGGACTCCTGACTACAACTTTTAAGGCACTTACTTGGTCTATATTGTTTCACCATGGAAACTCAAGCTTATTTGGCCCAGGGAACCATTTTTTTTTCTTATCAAACTAATTAATAATTCAAATAATCCAAAAGACTTATGACTGTGCCCCACCCTCTTGTAAGTCGCTGACTATGCTGGACTCTGTTGCTATCATAGTCTGCTTGGCTCTCTGTAGGACCACTGGCCATTTGACACATTCCTCAAGACCTCAGATCACCTTGGTTTGCAAATGGAGCCCATTAGCATCCAACAGTTTAAAAAATATGGCTGCTAGGGATTGTCAACAAATAGCTGTAACCAACATTAGCCACAATTAAAATAGACCCCAGGGAGCCTGAGTAACCTTGTGCCCCCTCCCCAACTCCTGCCGTCTTTTGTGGCATCAGTTCTAGAACAGTTATCTTTCAGAGGTGAACAGAACAGAAAGTCCTGTTGAAAGCAACACAGTGTACATGTACTAGGAGTGGTTTGGGACCATGTGGCAGATCCGTGGCCACGATGTGGCTCATACTGAAAGTTTTATTGAGGGTGAGATAAGAAAATCGAGAGACAGAGAGAGGGCAGAGGAGAAGAGGTGGAGGAAGAGAGAGAGGAAGAACAGAACAGTCCTGCCTGCCCCCTCAGAGGCGCAGCGGGAAAGAGGGAGGGGAAGCGGGCAGTCTTTCTTTTAAAGGGTTGGGGTTCACCTACCTGCCATGCATAGGTGGGTGAGAGGCTCGGCCAGGTTTGCCTGGATTACAACACTAGGGAGCTGTGTTTGACATCTGAGATCCATGGGAGTCAGAGCTGCCAATCATTAGCCGTGTGACCCCAGGCACATTATTTTAGTGCTGAGCCTGTTTCCTTGCCGGTAAAATAGGGGACGTCTACAAAAAAAACAGAGTTAAAAAATAGTGAGTAAGAACAGTGTGCGGCGTGGTGTCAGTCATAGGTGGCTAATAATTATTGTTCCTTTTCTTCCCTCCTCAGAAAGTGACTTTCCACTTTCTTTTGGTGGACGAAAGGTAGGACTAGGGAACAGACTCCAGAGCTTCTGGAAAATTCAACAGTGTTTTTCCATGCTGTGTCTTCCCACCAGAGCTGCTGGTATCATTTCTGTATCTTCTTTCCTTCAGCCCTTTTTGAATAGGGTGGGAACATAGATGGGCTGATGGTAGATCCGGGGCTGAGACAGGACATTTGAATAGTGTTTTGTTTTGTTTCGTTTTCTAACGGGAAGAAAATGCAGTTTCTCTGTGTCCTGCTGTCTAGAAACAAGCACTTCCAGTAGATGGCAGCCTTGCTTCACTTACCTTATAATTACAATAATAGTCTTCATCAAACAGTAAGCTGTTCATAGTTAAATGGCTTCTTGCCCTCAAAATAGCTACCCACCTCTTGTGTCACTGTTTTGTTTTGTTTTAACATTTTCTCTTGGTAAAAGGAAGCTATTCCTTCATGGCCTAAGCTCTACTCCATGTCCAGAGCCTGCACGTACTTCTATTACAGCATAGTGTTCAACAAGGCCCTCTGCCTTCTTAGTTCTTTCTTTTGACCTATGACCTTTGCAGTCTGGCCAAACATTTGTTTCCAGATCTCTCCTGGCTCTTGGGGCAGAATCACTGTGTGTTGGTTTAGAAAGGGTGTCTCCTGAGTGTGTCTTTAGTCAGTGTTCTGTGGTGCCTTATAGAGACAGTATGCAGATAACTCCCTGTCACCCCAAAGACAGGCAGAGAAGAGGAAAGTCTCTCAGGGTTAAATGTCGTCCACGTTGATGTGTGGATCATAGTACTTCTAGCTCACATCACAGGCTCACTAAGCTGAATCCAGAAAAGTTAAGGAAGAGAGACAATGCATACTGAGTTTGTAAGTATCAGGTGCCAGGGGTCTCTGCTGACTTCTGTTTGTGTGTCATCAACAGCTGTATCGTCGGCTATGTTGGGGAGCGATGTCAGCACCGAGACTTGCGATGGTGGGAGCTGCGCCACGCTGGCCACGGGCAGGAGCGCGACATCACTGTGGTGGCTGTCTGTGTGATTGCGCTAGTCCTGCTGCTCCTCTTGGGGACCTGGGGTGTTTACCACTACAGGTAAGCTTCCTTTTCCATGGGACTTGATGACCTCTATTCTAAGCTCTTCTCAAGGAATGCCTACTTCCTTGGATGAACTTGAGCAAAAACTCCGTTTAAAAAGAGGAGTAACCCTTTTTTTTTTTTTTTTTAATAAAAGTCTGGTCGTCACTGCACTAAAATGTCAATGCTCTTCCTTTTCCTTTCTGATTATTGCATAAGCCTTGTAGTCCTTCATTTTGGTGATGGTTGAGCTGGAAACCCAGGACCTCACCAATGTTACATTAAGCTGCATCCTCAGATCTTCTCTACCATAATGCATTATTGCAGACCAGGCTTTTCATTCAGCATCACATGCCTACATCAGCCAGCATAGCCATTTCTCATGGCTGCCTGCTGTTAATTACCCCAACTACTCTTTGTTAGAGAAAGTCACTATCTTCCCTACTTGGGAAGGAATCTGGTCATCGGGCTTTGTTTTCAATAATTTTAAATTAATGGTTTAAAACTGGGAAACAGTAACACACATTCATCTAAAACAGGCACCTCTCTGCTTGTGTTCATTTCCTTTAAAAGGACAACGATGCACTGTCACCAGTTGAAACTGTTAGGAATAAAGTGTGAGTAACCATGACGGATTCCATGGCAAGCGAGGGCGATCAAGGCAGGGGACAAACATGCCAGGCGACAGAGCTTAAGTGAGAAGTTTTATTAGAAAGAGAAAGGGGAGGGAGAGGTTGGAAAGAGAAAAGAGGTAAAGAGACAGAGGACAGAAGAGAAGAGGGAGACAGGAAAGAAAAATCCTGCCTGCTCCAGGGGAACAGCGGGAAAGACGGGGAGAGAGGAGCTGGAAAGAGAGTGTAAGTGGCGGGGTCTTTCTTTTAACGGGGTCCTTTGCACCTGGGCTGACCAGGGTACTGCCTGAGTGCATTCTGCCGGGCGACAGGGGCAAGCATAATGCCTGAACTCTTCTAGAAACTGCTTAGGAAATATTATAGTTAATGTGTTTAAAAAAAAAAAAAAATCAGTGACTCACAAGGCTTGGCCGAAGGGGCTTTGTAAACTCCTCTGGTTTGAATGCACCATATGACTGTGGTCCCCTTACCTGCCCAATGTTAGCTTTCTGGCGAGATGGAGAGTACTGCTGCTACCAGGAGATAAATATCCAACCACATTTACCAAAACCGAAGAAGCATTCAAGTTGCAACTGTTTCATATTCTGGAAAATTCAGTATAATCAGCCAAGGTGCTTCTACCAGAGACCCTGCTCTGCATACTGTAGCACTAAATAATGTGTAATCAGCTTGTGCACTTCAAATCCAAGTTCGAGTCTAGAGACCCTCAGGCTGGCTTCCTCATTTGCGTGCGTTGGTTTTCTTTGCTATGAGGCATAGGGAAATAGGATTTGTTTCAAGAGTTGTTGTGAGACTGAGTCAGTCTGAGTTAAGAGTTTACCGGTGGCTTGGCGTATTTGGTATAATAAATGCTACCTGAAGTTAATATGGCATTATATGAGCAGTAATTTTCCCAATAAGAAGTATGCCCTTGAAAACCTTTTCCATCAGCTCTGGAGAGACAAGATTCTCGGAGACAAACTTGAACTTTTAATTTGGTGGCCCATCAGTATACCTGCACTTTTAAAGGCTATTGTTTATATTCTGTATGTTTGTAGAAAGAATATTGACTCATCAATGGCTGGAAAGAATGTCAATCAAACGATAGATATTTGACCAATAAAGCTTTAGAAAAACAAAAACATAAAAATAAAACTTTGACGGGTGTAATGGCACACACCTATAATCCCAGAACTCAGGAGGCAGAGGCAGGCAGAGCTCTGTGAGTTCAAGGCCAGCCTGATCTGCAGAGTGAGTGCCAGGGCAGCCAAGGCTACCTAGTAAGACCCTGTCTCAAAAACACAAAACAAAAGACCCTTAAATTTATGTATAACATTATTGTTTGTTTGTTTGTTTGTTTGATGTGTTAACACATGTGACTTAATATTTTTCAGAAGGCTGGATATTTTTTAAGACAGAGTCTTGCTATGTAGCCAGGGCTGGCCTCAAACTCTTGCCTCAGCCTCCCAAATGTGATTTCAAGTATCTGTCAACAAGTGTGCCTGACCAGGGACATGTGTGGATTGAAAGCTAGTGGCTGGTTGATGGTGGATTTTCAACATCAGACTCCCATACTCCTAAGAATAAAAGTGATGCAGGGCAAAGGAAATGGCTCAGTCAGTAAAGTGCATGCCACACAAGCCCGAGGACCTGAGTTAAATCCTCAGAACCTACGTTTGAAAATTTAGGATAAATTAAAGCAGGACGTAGCTATACACCTGTAATCCCAGCACTGGGTAGACAGAAACAGCAACCCTGGAGCTCGATGATCAGCCAGGCCAGCTGCACTGGCAAACTTAAGATGTTTAGCCAGTGAGAAAGATGCACGATGTCTACTTCTGACCTCCTCATGCGGGCACACTTGCATACAGGTGTACACACGCAAACCCCATATATGCACACGCACAGGTGATAAGAACTATTTCATGACCAAAGTTTGTTAGAACTCTTTCTTGAGATTGCAATGCGCCAGAATTGTTTATGCCCTGTGAACATCTCTGTGGCTGATTACTTAACAGTGCTACCCCCTGGAGCTGCTTGCTGGCCTGGGGTTTTCAGCTCCGTGCTTGACTGCGTATGCACCATCTCTAGATGCATATCTCTATTTTGTCTAATCTGACAAAATAGTTGTGCCAGCAAGGGGGATGAGGTTTTTGTTTTTCTTTTGAGAGTGTCTCAGGTTTTTGTTTGTTTGCTTGCTTGCTTTGTTTTGTTTTTGCTTCCTATCAGGACTCAGAAGCAGTTATTGGAAACCCCAAAGAATCCATATGAAGAGTCAAGCAGAAACAGGAGCAGTGATGGGCCCGGCTGCAGCAGAGCTGGGATGTCTTCTTGCCCCCAACCTTGGGTAATGTCAAAGTACATGAAGCTAAGAGTTGGCTTGATAAGAATCCTTGTTCATTTTCCTCTTTATTCATACCTTTCAGAGAAACTGAAATCTGTCCTAGCTGCCTGTTGCTCTCAAAATGTGTCTTTTAGCCTTAGCATCTAGCCAATTTTCAGTAAGTGCTTTAAGCTCTGGACCTCAGTTCCTCGTCAGTATATCTCTCTGAAGACGCTAAGATCCATCTTCATAAATGCCATAAGCATGTGACTTAGGATGTCTCTCTAAACATAGCTTAATGCTTTGAGGGCTCATGGCTTATGGACTGCTAAATTACCTACATTGACTTGACAGGCTATAGAGATATAGATTGCAAGTTTAATTATTCTCATTTAAATAATAGGAAAGAATGAGAAGTTGTTTTTACAGCTCTTTTAAATATATTATATAAATATTATCTATAAATATAATATATAAATGTTACATATACACATACATATATATACATATGTACATATATACATATATGTATATGTATATATACATATATAGAGAGAGATATAGATATAGATATAGATATATTCATTCTACTCTTGTGGGGGTGAACAGCTTGTTGGCTCTGTACTGCATTCAGAGAAGCCAGGGCTCCTGAGCTGTGTCCTCCCAGCTGTCATAACTTCCATCCACACCAGCTGTGATGCACACGTCGGAGGGAGTTGGGGAGAGCCGAGTCCCCAAACCGGGAGGAGAAACAGCAGCAACAAGTCTGCCCCCGTCAGCTGCCTCCAGAGTCCTGGAGCCTGTGTGCTTTGGCAGAGAGGCACATGGTTGGAAAACTGTGTAGTGCACTTCTTGACTGGAGCCAGAAATAATGAGCCTGTGCCCTCACAGAGCAGGCCATTGTACTGATTCTGCAATATGTCATTGCAGAGACGGTTAACGAGGCAGGGACAAAGGGTGACGAGTGTTGTGGGAAAGAAAGAGAGAGAAAACAGAGCAGAGCTTCTGAGAGTCATGCTCTTCACCAGCGTTTCTGTCTCCATTACGTCACTGGTGCCCCTCGTTAAGCCTCCCTACACTTCCCTTGAGAAAGATCGGTACAGAAGTGCTCTTTCTATGCCTTTTGCTCTGAATTCTAGGTCCTCCCTGTGGAGGGCTCCTTCCTCAATCGCATAGTCAGTCCAAAGCTTGGCGCAGGCCTTCCCCCTGGTTACTTATTGACAAGGAAGGCCTTCACCAGCCTGCATCCTGCCCCCTAGAGCACGGAGAGCATGGCATACTTCTATTCTTCCTTTTCCTGTTTGATTTCGTTTACTGTCTAACCTGTCTGGCCTGAGTGCAGGCCAGTCAGCTCCACTCAGCCTGCATTGCAAGTGTGCGGTCAGTCTGGACAGTGCAAACAATGACGGAATGATCATTTGTTGAGCAAAGAGAAATGCTGGTGGGCCTACCTAGGCCTCTTTTTAGCACTCCGGCTCCTGAGCTGCTCAACCATGAGGAAACAGCTGATAGGTCCCTGCAAAATAGCAGTTATGCTATTGGTTATTAGTACTTACTGGTGACCCGAATTACTTAGGACTTGATAGGATGCTTAAAGGAATTATATGTAACCATAGGCTCCACATACACACACATGGCATTATTTGTCTGGCAGATGGGCAGTACTTAGGATACCTATAGATGCTTGTACTATATGCAGCAAAACAGTAGCTCTCAGGAATGCAAGATTCTTAGCCCGAGATTCCAGAATCAGAACAGATTCTACAGAAAAGATAGTTGTGTGCCCTAGAAGACATTAACACAAGGTTTCCAGTTCGTGCCGGAATCTCTCGAGACTGGAGAGGTGGCTCAGGAGTTAGGATCACTGGGTACTCTCCCAGGGGACTGTGATCTGATTCCAGCACCCACATGGTGGCTCACAGCCATCTGTAACTCTAGTTCCAGGGGATCCAGTGCCCTCTTCTGGGCTTCATGAGCATCCGGCAAGCATGTTATGCACAGATAGAAATGTACTCAAACCACCTTACACACAGTAAAATAACGAAAAAGAAAAATGTAAAAGTAGCTCTCTCATTAGCCAATGACAAGTTGACAAGGCCTTTCTTCCCGCTTTCTCCCTCCACTGAGTGCATGTGATAAGCTACAATTTAATGCTTGTCAGGGTGACTTGTGAATTCCAGAAACATCCCCTTTCTCCCTGGTCTTTTCTGCAGTTTGTGGTTCTAGAGGAACACCAAGACCCCAAGGACGGGAGTCTGCCTGTAGCTGGCCCAAATGACCCTGCAGAGGATGCTAGCCTGTCTTCCAGCTTGCAGCCTGGTGAGCAGTTACCTTGTCCTTGATCTCGAGTGTTTCCCGATGATAAGTATCATATATTCACAAAAAGGCCATTCGCACTGTCCGAGCTGAGTGGGCACTGGGTGGCTCTGACACGCCGCGTGTTTAGAGAAATGCATTTGACTGCATTTCACTCTTCTATAAAGATCCTGTCTACTCCAAGGCCAGGCACACTGCAGTCTGTCTGTCACTCTGAGTGAGCACAACAGACTCAGCCCCTTCCTGTGGGCTGCATAGGACTGCAGCCCGTACCAGCTGCTGTGAGCATAGCTCCTCTGGAGGAGGAATGGCTCTCCAAAAGCAGGTTCTATGTGCTGGTAGGAGTGTTCCTGTTAATGTAAATTGATCCGGGCATTGTCCTGGAGATTTCAGAAAATTCTGGTCTTGTCAGAGACTAGCCCTCAGCCAGAATCTTGGCTGTCTGAGAGTCCATCCAGGTCACCATGAAATCCAGCCAACTTCTCAAGCTCTCCTGGAACTCAATCTGCGTCTGGTAGAAATGTTGTCACACATCCTTTGATGTGATCCTTTAGCCAGGACTTGTATTGTGATATGTCTCTTGGGTTCGGGTCTCAGGTATCACCGTCCTTTTTACAACCCACAGGGCAGTCCTGAACATGCGTTTGTGTCATAGGCCTTTGGAAAGGTAAAGGGAATCTCTGAGCCAACAAAAACAGTCCCTGTGCTAATGGCAGGAGCCACAGAAGTGTCTGAGCCGTCCGATCCCCCATCACGTGTCTGTCATCCGCAGTGAAAATGCTCACCGAGGTTGGGTGGGAAGGGAGAGTGGGGAAGAAGTCGAAGGTTAGTTTTGACTCCGAACCAGTGTGTTCTGTGTTCCTAGAAAGGCATGGAAGCATAGTACTGGTTGTTGACCACAGAGCCATCGTCATTGACCTCAGCCAGTGCCAATGGGCAAGGGTCGAGTGAAGAGCACTGCGATGAGGGAAGAGGTCTGTGATGGGAGGAAGGAAGTGTCTTTCCTATCTAAACTTTGTCCTAAGGCAGTTATGGCCTAGATGTGGGGATAGGATGAACACAGAGCAGCTCTCTTGATCATCTCAACCAATCAAGACTATGCTAATTTAACAAAATGAGTACCATTAGAGTGAGAATGAGTTCCTTTGCTTCTCATATTTTAAGTCTATTATCCCATGACTATTACAAGGGTCTCTTTTGCCAGACATTTTAAACAATGAAATCTCCTCCTCTCCCTCATCCCCTCCTGTCCCTCTCCTTCCTCCTTACCCCATCTCCTCCTCTCCCTCATCTCCTCCTGCTCCTCCTGTCCCTCTCCTTCCTCCTTACCCCATCTCCTCCTCTCCCTCATCTCCTCCTGTCCCTCTCCTTCCTCCTTACCCCATCTCCTCCTCTGCACCATCCATTTTCTCTCTCCTCCTCCCTTTCCATCCTTCTCTCTTGTCCTCCCTCCCATCTTTTTCGAATAGGGTCAGTGCATCTGAATTCATGGAGTCAAAGGCCCCACATATATGGAATGGGCACAGGGCAAAGCTGCTGGATCCCACCACCAAGTGACAAAGGTCCTCAGGAGATGGAGGGAAACGCCCGGTTACCCTCCTACAAGGAATGGCCTCTGACTCTGGGGGTGGAGAAGCTTCATTCTCTCCAGTTAGCTAATGGATCATGTCAACAGAGGGCTCCAGATCTACCACACCAAACAAAGCCAACTCAGTGAAAACCAGAAGTAGACAGGAGGTGAAGAACAAACCAGGCTGACAGATGGAACGTTTTCTTCTAAAAAGTAGAGTACTACATGTAGATTTAGTACTCCAGTCTCTATGGCTAATCTACCATTCAGTGTCCTAAACGTAGATGAGTAACTGCATAACTTTGATTTTTGCTTCTTCCTTCAAAAAGCAATCCCATCAAAGACTTTTAAAAGAAGAGTCAAGAAATTCATTAAAAACCAAAGTCAAGACACTCACATGTTCTAAGTCTTGTCTTCTTCAATAGATTTTTTTTTTTTTTTTTTGTTCCTTCCTTGTTGCCTCAGGTTAAAGCAGGTGATCACACATTGTGTTACTTGCAAGATAACTTATATGATCTACACAAAAGCCTTAGTTCAATCCCATACAGTGGTTGGACCATTATAACTATTTCTGAGATACACTATACGCATTTAATTCTTTGTTGGGGTGGCCCATGCTGATATTTTGCCTTCTGGATTGTGATAAATTAGTGAAAATAATTGTAACTTAGAAAATGATTTATTCAGAATTAGATCATTTATTTTTTATACTTTAAAATCTGTGAATGAAAATATTTAATTTTAAAAACATTTCCTAAGAGACATCAGTGTTTCTTAATCATTAGTGTCTTTTTCCTTTTGCCAATCTTTCCCCGTGAAAATGGTGAATCCTGGTGTTTGCACAGTGTTTTTCACTTGTTTTAAGATATGAGATTGTAAACAACTTGCTTGATTTATTTTCATCAGTTTCTCCCAATTAAATAAAATCACCCTAAAACATTAGCATTTTATTATATGTTTGGTGAAGTTGTTATAGTTTGAGCTGAACCAACGTGATTCACTAGACTTGTAAAAAAAGATTGACTTCTCTGATGCCATAAAGCGAAGTTGCACACGGATTCTAATGGTGCATGTTCCTTATAGCCAAGGTGTTGCTAACACAGAGAATGCAAGGGTTCATACTGTGGCACGGAGAGTTTGGATCTTTGGTTAGCAGTGTTTTCAAACTGGACCGGGTGTAGAACTCTGTGTAAACATTTGAGGATGGATGACTTCATCCTCTGGCCAATTTAGGTTTGTTCTGAATTCAGTTTTACCTCTGTTGACAATGGATAGCTGAACGTTCACAAGACCCACCTTTGTTTGTTTGAGACAGGGTTTCTCTGTGTAACAGTCCTGGCTGTCTTGGAACTTACTTTGTAGACCAGGCTGGCCAGGAACTCACAGAGGTGTGTCTGTCTCTGCCTCTTTAAGTGCTGGGATTAAAGGCATATTGCCACCACTGCCCAGCAAAGATCTCCTTTGCAGTAAGGAAGAGGCAAATGTCCCGAAGCTGTGGTGAGTCCACCTGGTTAAACCCTGCCCGTTGGGGAAGGTGGGGGAGGGGGGCGGCTTCTGCCGCCTGGGGGCAAAACCCAGGTAAATCCCACTTCTGACACCAGATATTGCGGTAAATAAGGATCAGGATAAACAAATAGGCCAAATAGATGTTTATTCAGGGAGAAATAACTTACAACCTAGACAGATGAACACCAGGAAATTCAACCCAATCCTCTCCTGTCCTAGTCACGCCAGAAAGAGAGCACCTTCCTGGCCCCCTCCGACCTCCTTCCACAGGTCACTTCTGCCCATGGCTCCACCCCCCAATGGGCGTGGTCAGTGCCACAGAAGGACTATCTCACTACAAAAACCTATCTTTTATTTCTGGTAAGTGAACCTCAGAATAATAATAGACGTAACCTCTCGACATGTTTCTTTTTATCCTCCCCAAGTTAACAATTTTGAAGCCTTAACTAACTGGATTCCATTTGTGTATTTGAACATACCTATTTTAGAATCTCAAGCTAGCCAACGGGATGTGAGACCATAGCTCCCCACCCCAGATGCAGTCTCTGGGAAGGTTAAAACAGACTCATGCTGTGTCTCCAGGAGACCATGTTCTCATTTGTTTGACAGTACATACTCCAGAAACAGTTTCATCCAAGACAATTTGATTTGTCTCTTTTCAAGGCTATGTTTTATTTCCCAGCGCTCATGGTCTTGATGTACGTGGTACCTGATGGCCATTCTCCTGTCACCTACTCCACATGAAAGGAACGTCCTGCCCCCTGCAGCACCTCACGAAGGCTAAATACGCTGTGCCCTGTTGACTCTGTGTGCTTTTAGCTCTCCCCCACTGCCTGGCTATACAGCGGCCTTTCACATGAATATATGATTATTGTGTGATGGCTGAAATTGTGATAGTAGCACCGAATATAATAAGTAAGACTCCTCCACACACACAAACACACCCAAAACAAACAAGCAAAACGGCCAAGAGAATTCAAAACTCTCCTGTCGATTCAATTAGCAAGATTCTATGCTTTGTTGTGTTTCTTTCTTTTTGTATCTTTACTCAAGAAACCCCCTCGGTACATTTCCAAGCTCGTTAGTCCAGACATGCCTGAAGCCGAGCATGCTGGCTTCACTGAGAGGGCTCCTACATCAAGAGGCTCTGTACTGGCATCAAGGGAGACACCGTGCTTATCCCTCCAGTAGTGTTGTACAGGGTCAGGTGGTGAAGCTCTCACCCTGTATGCTTCTGTCCACAGCTGGTCCCTGAGACACACGGGTGCCAGGCTGTGGGTCACCCCCATGCCCTTTTCTTGGTGCTTATCTCTTCTACAGATCCTAATGAGAGCTGGCCAGCTCAGGCCTGCCACCACACCCAGATGCATCAGCCTTCCACAAACCTCCCACCAGCTCTCCTACATGTCCCCACTGGGGGTACTGGAACCTGGTCCCGTGGTTTTGCCTAAGCTCTAACTTGCCGTATTTCCTTCCCATTGCCTCACAAGCCCAGGTGGATGTCTATGCTCTGATCTTCAAATCCTTCTTCTAAACCTGACTTTCCTAACTCCCCGTGCAATTATGTAGGATTTAATTTCTATAATAAATTACCTATTATATAACACCCTATGATTTGCTTCCTGTGTGAATCAAGTCTATGCAACCAGATGTTCAAGATGCACATATTTATATCATGCAAATTATTCCATGCAAAAGGAAAGGGGAAGAACCCCTCACCTCATTTTAACCTTTATTTTTTCAGTGGACTGGGACAGCTCAGAAAAGGGTGATTAAAAGCCAAACTCAATTATAAATATAGACACAAAAGGTCTATGCAAAGGATTAGTAGTAGATTTGGCAGTGTGTTTTAAAAGCACCTCATGACCAAATGTTAATTATATAATAAGTGAAACATCAGTTGAATATTCCAATCTAATATGTAAATTATTAAATTACATTACAGTGCAAAAGAAAGCATGGCATTTTCAGAAACATCATGCGTTTATGACAAAACCTCTTTGTAAAATAGAAAAAGTGAATTTCTCTAGTGTGAAGAAGGAAATCGACTAGGACCTACAGAAACATTTTACATAATACTGAAATACTGAGGCCATTGCCCTTAGATCAGGACCAAGACAAGGGAGTCCCATTTATTTACTTTTAATTTGATATTTATATACTATATTTACATAATTTCCTATTTCCTTCTCTTCCTTCCAATCACCCTGTGCCTCCCATCCCATTCAAATACTTGGCCTCTTTTCCTTTAATAATTATTGTCGAACACACATAATAAAGAAATAAAACCTGCTGGGTCCAGTTAGCATTTAGTGTTGTTCTTATGTCTGTTTTTAGGACTGACCGCTTGAGACTGAATGACCAGGGAGGGTCATCCCGGGAAAAGACGGATTCTCCCTCTCTCAGCAGCCATCAGTTGCCTATAGCTCTTCATCTAGAGGTGGGACCTTGTGAGATTTCCCTATTTATGTTGGCATGCCAACTGATGTTATCACTAAGGTCTTGTTTAGGTAACCATACCGTCGAGATCTCATGGGGGTGGCTTCACAGCAGATATTCTGATCTTTTTGCCCCCTCTTCTGCCCACTATCAATTCTATTCAAATACTGTGTTAAGTGCCTTAAATGGTACTCCGATAGCACAGTAATACCCCACAGCAATTAGAGCAGGTGTTTAAAATGCATAAAGATTAAAAATAAAATTATTTGCAGATGATGTAGTTGTCTACAAAAACAAGTACAAAGTAATTCGCAAATAGAAACACAGCCAGTAACTGACACCAGCAGTCACCGTGGCTCAGCTGTCACACGGCTTTCTTCCCAACCTCTGCTGTCAAGATGGGCCCCAGAGCTGGATTCCTGGCACCCACACAGCCAAACAAGAGGACTGGCTCCCTAAAGTTGTCTTCTGCCAACATGTATGTGTCTGTAGCACATGTATGTACTCGCCCTTCCATTTGCTCCTTCTCTCTCCTACGCATACAGTAATAAAAGGTTGAAAATAGAGTAGTATACCTAAGATACTGAATTCCATATTCAGCAAAGTATTGCTCAAAAGTAACGGTAAAACAAAGGCTATCTAGAAAAATTCGAAGAATTGGAAACAAGAACACCTTCACTAACCAAATGTTGAAGAGAACTTTCTGGGTAGAAGTTTATTTCAACACAGAGTAGTAAAAGTAGAGCAAACACTAAACAGTTGGAAAGGTGGGTAATTGTAAATAAATGTAGACCTGGTATTAAAATGTGGGAGGTAGGTGTGTGTGTGTGTGTGTGTGTGTGTGTGTGTGTGTGTGAGGGGGGAGAGAGAGAGAGAGAGAACACTAAGTAGGAAGTATCAGATACTGCTATAGAGCAGTAGTAATTAAGTGTGGTATTGTTAGAAAACAAATAGATCAGTAAAAAGCCCGGCCCGCAGACGAGGGAAAGATGAGTAAATGGGCAATGTGTGTGTGAGTGGGTAGGAACAGATGCTTTGTTATTAAACATCGCCAAGAAGACTGGTTATCCCATCAGAAGATAAGGAAAGACATCGCTCCCTACCTTCTACTGTAAACATGTACCCATTTCAGTTTGTAAAGCAAAATTATAAAATGAGATGCATTTATTGACGTATACTTTCATAACTTTGGATGCCATTTTTAAAATTCACTGAATTTCACTATGGC